GAAAATAGCCTTTTGGTTGATCACCGGCGATCCAACCACATGTTTGGTTCCATGTACTATGCTACGATACTCCCAGAAAGAGAGTGGATCATTGTCAATGGGAAGCAAAGAGCTCAAGTTCCGACAGGTACCTCAAACTGTGCGATAGTTCAAATACTGCTTCGCAGGAGGGATTCTATGCACAAAGGTAGCAGGTTCCGATCGAGCTCGGATCAGACTTGAAGGGCATGAGTCTAATCACCACAGAGAGGGCACATCTCGCCCTACCTCCTGATAAGTGGTTCTGGTGGGGACTTTGATCAAAGCATATGTGGAAGCACTACTTTGCGCGCATGCTTTTGTCTCCGGGCCGGAGATTTAAACCATTAGACGTGGAAAGCCGGCCAGAAAACCCGCGACACTGTATCTTGTGGAGCGGATCTCGCGTGGCTGTTCCGCTCAGCCAATGTGAGACTCTAATCGTTCGACCTTATGGTCGATTAAGACAGTGGATTTGACATCCGAAAAGACCAACTGTTCACTGTTCTTAAAAGAGAAGTGGCCTCACAGAAAGCAAAGAAAGTTGTGCTGCTCAGGCTCAAGCTCAAAATACTGGTGAAAATGAGACAGAATTTGATGAATCTCCAAATGAACAAGAGTTAGCTCAGCTTGACAAGGACTTGTCTGGGGACGAGAGCCAGCCTTGGATGGATGAACTCATCAGTGAGCGAAAAAGAATGATCCTCAAGCGAGAGAGCACCACATATGACATTAAGGATCCATTCTGGCAGTATATGCTGTTCAGTCCAATGGCCGCGGCCAAGCATACATTTCCTCCTTTTGTCCTGCTTTTAGCAATGCTCTCCTCCGCTCGCCGCTGCATTGATTCCAGCACCGAAACTATCTGGCACACAGTCCGGCTGACCGAGAGGGTTAACAACAATTTCGGCAATCTCCTAAACCTCTACGATGAGAATGGCAACTAGTATGACTTAGTTATTCACGAACTTGACATGTCGCCTCTTTGGCACCATTTCCCTATTGTTAGTATCCTCCCATTTGCAGATTTGTTTGAACTAATCTCTAAGCTAGTTCAATGCTGACCCCGATGCCCTTGCAATGGCCCTCTATGTGACCTCTCGTGATTTCGTCACAGTCGCATCAGGTCCTCACCGCATAACATCCTCCACCGTTACTCGTCGCCGTGCCTTTCGCACGTGTATCCGCCTCCCTGGCTGGTTTGGCGAAGCCTGTGCACAGTCTCTTCTTCAGGGGCATCTTTGGGGCTGTCGTCTGTAGCCCACTTGCTTGAACGTCGTTGCAACCCGGCTGTTAATGAAGGTTCATCTTCCAACGACGAGTTGATGTATTTGGAAACCATCTGGTTTCTCCTTCCTCGAGAATAACGACTAGCAGAGTGAACAAGGGACGAATTGACCTTTCTTCCATTGAACAGATTACCGAGCGCCGATCCACCCTATGTTATCCACACCTCAAGATATTCGCCTCGCAGCTCGGCCTCCGCACCGGAACGGACAACCATGCTCAATTGCAGTCCAAAAGTCTCTCACCTCACGGGCCACAACCATGAGATAGACAACATCAAGGCCTTGGAGGACAGATACTTGTGGTTCAGGCGGGGAAAGCGGCCCGCGCGAACCTAGGATCTCTTAGGGATTTACAAGAACACCCAAAGGACTGTGCTGCCGAGGATTGCTGATCCGAAAAGATCTCAGTGGGAGCAAGACTTGCGGCATCTTAACCAAAGGAAGGGCCAAAAACATGATCTTTAAGGACTGGGATGGCACAGGCACTAATGAACACCCCACTCATGCGATGGTGGGCCGAGCCCCAGCTCGACGGACACACGTTGAGGGAACAGCTCGTCATCTCGAACCGGTCATGTCATCATTGATTGAGGCTAGATAGAAGCCCACGCCAGCTTGAGGTGCTTTGACAAATACTCAGGGCTATAGAATCCTACTACCAGCCCACGATGTGTGACATACTCAACCCACTGGACGCATCTAGCTGGAAAGGGCGACACAGACGAAACGGCCGTCTACTACATTCTTCGTTGACCGCAAACCACCTCGGGTCACCACTTTCAGTTTCCGAAGATCTTCCTGGATGACAGACTTTCGCTTAGTCGAGAGGGAACATCAGCCCTTCATCCATTGGGTTTGTCATTATCACCGCTTCAGAGGGCCCAGCGATTTGAAGGCTTCCCGAAACTATCCGCGTTGTCTTCGCGCGCATCTTTCAGCGCTAGGTGCACTACACACTACATAAAAGACCTCGTCGCCTCACCGGGGTGGTGCGTTTGATCACACTACCAGACACTGCGATTCCTCACTCCTGGTTGTCGCAGTGGCCCAGAGTACTCTTCCATTTTGCCGCTTTTTGCTTATGCACAGCATTTAACTACCAACCTCTCGGACCCACTCGTCGCATTGCGAATCCACATCATAGTCGCGGGTCCGGGTTCGAGAAGGCGATGACTAGGTACTCCAAGAGAATTTGCACCGGTGAAAGCCTGCTGCCTGGGCATGACAATTTACCTCAATGTGGTAGTACCACACCCGAATCCGGAGTCTCATCACATTTGATGACTCTATGCGTGCCGCCTTCCACAATTAGCCTGGCCACCAATCTTTCAAAGTCGTTGCTGAAAGCTTTGAAAAGACAAATGCGCGTACGCACAGCAGAAGACGTGGAACCGTTCCTCACTGAGGAAGACGGGCATATGTATCGCTGACCAGGAGTTGTATTCGTTGCCTACAGATAATTCACTCACCTGATAAGCCATGTGTGCGACCTTGGGCTTTGCCATCCTTGAATCTTCTAGCGGCAAAGGTCGCATAATACATTGAGCGGCGACACCGTAACCAAGAAAGGAAGAGGAAGAGGATTCTCCAGAATGGAGCCCGTGTTTTCCTTTGCTCTGTCGTTCTCGGCTACTAGGACTGAAGATCTGGCCTTCGAAGCGCTACAGAATGCATAACCTGCTGGGATGAAAACTTACAGATTGGAGTTGTAAATCACATCGACAAATGGCGATAACTCGAGTCTCCGGAACATCCTCCGAGAGTATCATATTTACGGCCCTATTTTCAACTTAATGGCCCGACACTGAGCGATTACGCGCGCTTGACGATTATGTCCTGAATAACGAGCACAGACATTGCGCCATGTACTGGTGCTCGCTCATTGTCCATGTTAACAAGGCCGAGCGAAAGACTTAACCTATCGGAGCCTTATGCGTCGTGTACTTCCAGATGTCGATGCCCAGCATCCGATTCAATCAGCTACCGATGAGCTTATGAACCGCCTACTTGCAGAGTGAGACTGGTTAGCGTTGGAGTGAAGTCATGCCATCTGCTCTTGGACCTTCTTCTTCAGCAGAGGTCACGCGCCTTCCAGCTTATCGATTACAGGCAAGAATAATCTCAGGGTTCACGTCACTATTTCCGACGAGGGAACCCGGTGCGGGTGTCCATGAGACAGCATTTGTTCTGCAAAAGTACACTATTCGGGTTACTCCCGCACGCAAGCATCAACACCGAAGTACATGTTTTTTTCAATATCTTCTCATTACCTGACAAGCACGATCTCGTGGCCATTTGGGTCTTCTTATCCAGATATCCCCCGAATGATAGGTCCTTCCGGTAATTTGCAGGCAGAGCAACGCAAAATCGACGACTGCTTGCGACAGTCGAGTTCTGTCACCATTCAGCACAGCGTGATCATGGCGGTCCGCCTTCAATCCCAGCTTCGACCATGCATGCTACCACAGCCGAAAGCAATTATGTCAGAAGGTCAATAGTGCCCACAAGGCCTACTAGTGCTACTGGGCTGACGATTGGCACAATCGCACCAGATCTCGCTCTAGGGAGATCAGCGGTTTTTTTCCCGAACGCACGGTCGACAGGGAACCGTACGCAAAGGAAAATCTCAAAGAACATGTCAGGGGTGGAACAATGATTGCAATGCTCTATTACTTGAAATGACGGACAGTGGCTCGAAGCTGGAACCGAACCAAGGAGCAGTAGGGATGTCTCGAACATCGCCTTGTGTGCAGTAAGTTGTCGTCCCCGTACGTGTGTTTACCCAAGATCCTAATGCCTACATTCTGTTAGAACAGTTCAGCGTCATCTTCTCTCATTTCGCCTTGCTCGGAATTGATTCGGCCGGTTCTAGCACGGCAATAATTGGAAAGGTTCTCCCTACCTTTCAGCCAAGGTGATGAGGTCGCTGGTCGAGTCAGTTTAGTCAATACGGCGCTACTTTTGATCCCAAAAAAAAACCCGTCGAAAGATTCTGAAGTATATGCAATATCTTTCCACTGATGGGCCTGAGTGTTCTAACGGAAGCTCCCCACCTGCTACCACGGCGATGGTGAGGATACACAAATCCTTGTTATCCTTGTTCAGAGCTTCATCTGCCCCTACCATAAAATGTCTGGAAGAGACGGAGCAGCAATTCGAAGAATCTGCTTATCGGTGGCAAAGACAGCAATTCAACGCCGATTCTAGTTTGAGAACTCTCCCATAGCCTTTCACAGCGGCCCAGAATATCCCAGGGCAACACGGGCCTGCTACTGTCCATGGGCCTGAAGTACCAAGGAGTTGTGCTATCAAGTCTGGCCATCCCGAAAAGAAAGAACTTCGGGTCTGATATTCCTCGACCTCTTACCAGTTTTTCTCTGACATGCAGCGATTTGACACGGCTACTACTGCATGGGTGCACTTTTCAGTGGTCCTGTTCTTCCCAGACATGCCCGGCGTTGAAATGGAAGTTTTAATCCGGTGTCATTGACACCCCTAAACCGACACTCTTGAAACGACCCTCCTGAAACGACCCTCCTGAACCGACCCTCCTGAACTCCAAATCAATCCTCCACTCGACATGTATGATGTGGCGAAGCCCACCAGCCCAACCCCTAGCACAATAATTCTCTCTTATTATTGAGCCGCGAGACAAGCCGAGAGGCGGCGATTTCTCATTCCCAGCTCTTGATCATGAATCTCACCCCCACCGTCGTCGTCGTCGCCGCCACAGCGCCATCCCTCCACTCCCCCCGCGCCGCTACGTACGTGCGGGGCAATCTGGTTTTGCAACTGACGATGACAAATATCGTCGCGGCCCCCGCGGTGGCCGCCCCCATGCTCCCTGGACCTCCCCCGCCTCCCACGGGAACACCCAGGGCAATTTGAGACTAGCCGGCTTCCCGCAAGCGGGCCAACGATGAGGAGTGGGGTGCCTCCCTCTTTGTCGAGTTGCCTCCCGCGGCCTGGTTTTCAGGTCATTCGGAGGCGACACCCGCCGTGGTGCTCGTCCTCCCACCCTGGACAGGTTCGCAGCCCCTGTCGGGTCGCGAGCGGGCCTGGATCCGCGAGCCCATTGTGCGATCTGTGCCGTACATTGGGTGGTCGGACCCCAGGCAGCTGGCTGTCCGGGCCCAACTCCGCGAGGGCATCCTCGTGACTCGAGCTGGCCGGCAGCCGCCGCCAAATACATCCAGTGGAGAGTATTTCACCAAACGAAGACACCGTCACGTCTAGCCGAAAGTTGAACTCAAGCAGGGTCTGAACGCAGATGATCAAACACTGCGGCGCAGACACAAGAAGCTCCACTATCCTATAACACGGAGAGCGTTGCAGACAGTGTCACTACCAAAGAAGATGTCGTCCACGGCGCGGCTCGCAAGGGCATGCCAATATGTCCTTGTGTCTCTACGCGGACTTAGCGATTGTTGTAATGGGTCGGAAGCCAATCGGGTGCCTGCACATGCTGCACTCAACGTCTTGGGATATGATGTGTCTACCATTTATCTCCGACTACACACGGATCTTGACATTTGCTGGCAGGGGTCCGGATTGAATATTCTTCGATCCACATGCCAAGAAAGTAGGAGTCGCTAATCTCCTTGCAGTGCTCAGACCCTTACTCGGCATGGCTACACCTTTCGACGCGCTGGCTATGGCTATCGCACACAAAGACTGGCCCAGGGAGCTCAGAGTCAGTTCTTGCGGCAAGATAAATGTCCCACACCCTGCAACAACAAGCGGGGAGACCATAGGTTGTGGTTCTGCAATTACATGGCACTGGTACTACCAGGAGGCGAAATCCCTGCGGGGAAAGGAGATTATTTATGGGAGCGGGGAGAGTGCTGCGCAGAGACTCAGGGAGGCAATGGGCCCTGGCCATAATATGTCGTGGAATCAAGAACCTTCGCCATCTTGGAATGCCTTGAGTCCACGCTACAAGGATGCGTACAGCTCGATAGAAACGATTGAAAAGAGAAAAAGGGAGAACGGGTGCTCATTCATCCCCGGTGTCAACGAATCGAGCAAAATCGGAAGAAGATCAGGAAGGTCTGTGAGGACAAGGAAGAACGGAACAAGGAGATTGACATCGACACGACTGTCTCAAGCCACGACTTAAGCTATGTGTGGCTTTGTGCCAACTCATGTATCAGGGGTGGCCGGGTCGAATTCTCGAACGGAAAGCTAGACCTCCAATATCCTCGGTTATTGCTGCGCGATGCATGAACTCGTCCTACTATCAATGACAGACTGGAATTGGAAAGATGCGACATCACCTAGCTCCGTTTCCTGGCGGACTTCGATGCGGTGAATGTTAGAAGCGGCATATTCGCAATCTTGAAGCAAACCTTGTGGGAAGGAAACGCCAAAAGCGAAAACGCGTACAATACCTATGGAACAATACTCGAATACAGGCGCGCGAGAGAGACTGAAGCCATCCAGAAGCCATCGATTAGGCTACAGCAACATCCTGAGGTAGGGGCGTTGTCATTGTCCCTTGCCCCAGAGAGGGGGCAGAGGGGGATTGAGATGGAGAAAGACTACATCGAGAGATTTCAGCCGAGAGATACAGACGAGCTCCAGAAGCTGGGCCTAACAACTTGCCCACGCAAAGGCGGAGAGAGCAGAATCAGCAATGAATCTCTACCGATACGACTGGAGAACGGCTTCGTTACTAGCTGACAGGGTCTTCTTTCTAATTGCTTGTACCGCACCACGTGGTCCATTTCCGCTCGCCAGAGCCCGAGCCCGAATATTGGAACGAGACTGGGCAAACGCGCTGTTGCAATCTTGGCAATACTAATGACATGTGATGATGAGGAGACTCATGCCAGCGTCAACTAAATGACTCAGATCAGCAAAAAGGACATTCATGAGAGGGTATCGGAGAAGAGCAGGCAAACACCAACGGCGAAACGAAATAGATCTCTCAATTCCAACTCTGAAACACGCCTCAAAAAAAGCAAAATCGCTGTAAGCGGGTTACTGAGGAAGGCGATAGGACTCGTGATGAAGGTGATGAAGGTTTGCACGAAGTCCCCAGTAAGGTCGATGAGGGTGCTAATGAGACGCCAGAGCCAAGACTTTCAACTTGCAAGCGTAAAGCCTGGCCTAACTCCCGGGCATGAAGCATACAGCTCAAGATCAAGTATGGAGTCAGCTAAAAAATAGTAGAGGGGCGCTCATCTGGCGGACATACGAATTAGGGCAAGTTTCTCGGGACCGATGAGCCAGCCGGGTCAAGCAATCCCGCAGTATGCCACCACCGTCCGAACCTCGCCGCAAGACCATTCGAAGTTGGAAGCAATGGCGATTCAGTGTACACCAATGAAGCCATATCCTCGGGCAAGAATAGCAGATCCAACTCTCCTGAGATCCGATTATTGGGCCAAGCGGCGCAAAATCAGACCACTCGAACTTGAATGGAATTCTCGGTTATGCCGTTTCTGAACACCTATGACTCAGCATATATCAATAAGGTCGACTACTATCGAATTGGTTGGCAGGAACAATCAGCCTCTTATATGAACAACTGAAGTTGGTGATGTTGGTAGTCAATACAGTACCCGTGTTGCTGCGAACCAGGTCCGACGAAGACGGATCCAGCGAAGCCCGTTCTGCTGAGCCTTTTCGTTTGTCTTTCGGCTCTTTGTCCTGCTTTGCCCCTGGAAAGGTTGGAGCTAGGCCTTTGCAAGTCCTTTCCCTGATTCTAGAAGTATGTGCAGAATAAGATCATATCCCTTAGCTCACTGCTGTCGCTCATCATGGAGCCACGCTATCACTCCCCATCGACGCTTCACTGACAAACTCCCCTCCTCCCAGATGAAGTTCTTAGCAGGACGGAATGGAAAGTGCGGTCTGTCAAATGGACCGTTATCTATCGACAGATAACAGTCTAATCATGGTAATGGCAGCTTTTAATCTGCCCATGCAGTACCGTGGACCGGAATGCCACGGCATACAACTAGCCGAACTGGCGGCAACAGAATTGGTCGTCAAGAAGTTGGCGATTACATGGCATAGCCACTACAGTCGCGTGGTCTAGTGCGCGGCCGTTCTTTGTGAATTAACGGGGCGCCATGGCTAGTCCTTGCAGGCTGTGGACCTCGCAAGCGAATATACGAGAATGAGCGTGTCTGTGCAGAACCTCGGAGACCAGCGGATCAAATGACAGAAAAAGAAGAACCTTGTGTTCATTGGTTCTCAATGCTCGGTCGGCCTTAATTTCTTCTAACTCGGGTTCCTTTGTTCCAACATGGATAGCCAGCCACTTATTCACAGCTGTCTTGTCCGATGTGCATAGTGGTCTTGATGGATGGCCAAAGCGCCCCAGTCACAGACGAAAGAGCGCAGAATTTTTCGTGACAGATATCCTCAACGAGCACTCGAACGGAAAGATAAAGCACTTTGTTTCTATATGCACCACCGTTCCATGCAGTGGGTTGATATTTTTCTTCCTTGGGTGTTGGTCTGGGGCTTGGATTGGAGTCAGGTCTGCATGACCCTTCCGAGGCCTACGATCTACGTTGGTGGAATGATCTGGGCTGTGCTTTGCGGGACATTCCTTGCCTTGTCCACTGGCTTCACTATGCCTTACCCATCTTGCAGTGAAGACACACGAGGCAAAGAAGGCTAGACTGTGCTGCTATAAGACCTTGATGTTTTGCTTCTTTGCAGCTTTGTTGTGGATATTTCGAAGTCAAGAATGGCAAGTCTCTCGACGATAAGCCGTCGCAGCAAGGAAAAAGCGCAAGCATCGATAATCGACCAGGTAACTCTGAGTTTTCTCAACATCGAGCAGTGGAGATCAACCACTTCAAGCGGATCGCGTATCACAGGCAGTGCGGTCCAAGAACAATTTGACAACTCTGAGGTTATTGTTCTGGGTGTCCCATGCAACCGCAACTCGGCTGCACACTTCGCGCAACCAGAGGGGCGTGCTCGCGCGTCTTGTGCGACTCCAGGAAGTGGTCTCACCATTCATACCTGCTCGCATGTGTATAGCGATTTCAGAGCCCGCCTCGTCGCTTCGGCGGTGGGGGAGACCTACTGTTCGCGCTGCCGCATGCACAAGCGCGGAGCCCGTGGGTGCGCGCCCGTAAGCTTTCCGCATCCCCATTGTCTTTGACAGGGATGGCTTGGCCGTTTACCGCAGTCACTGGTAGACGAGTCGCTCGAGGACGTGATCGTGATCGTCGCGTTAGGGCAGACCGTAGCCGCGGGCGAGGTAGACGAAGCGGAGCGTCTATCTCACATCTACATCTACCGCGCTGAGTACGTCAAGTACTGACCGCGGACGCCTCGCACGCCTCGCACGCCTCGAGGCGTCTGCGGCTTCGCTTTTTTCGTGAGGTTGGGTTCTGTCGTCGTACTGGCGTTGTACTGGCGTCGTTAACTACGTCTCCTTTATCAATTTTATTTGCCTTTTTTTTTGTATTTAGTTGGAAATGCGCTTCGGGCGCGCCCTGCGGGGCCCAACGCTGTTGTTGTCAACGGATTATCGACGCCGACTTACGTGGAGAGATCAGGCCATACACGAGAAAGCAAAGGCAGACGACCTCGAAGGATTCGGAGGCACAATTGAGGTACCATCCTCGAACACTTGGTGTGACACAAACTCAACCCTATGGCAGCGAGAATCCAGGACTTCGCTACCCGTGTTAGCCCCTTACCGCTTGCGCCCTGATTCGGGCCACTTCGCTCAGAGAGATAAACCGAGAGCACGGACAAAAGCCCACCTAGCATGAGCATCCCGGGCAGTACCCCTAGCACGTTCAAGGCTACCCTAGAGCCCTCCCAGAATACCACTGATGTCTCCAAGACTGGCACCAAGCCCGACCCCCCCCCAAGGATGATGAGTCTGCCAGCTTGTCCGGCAACGGCGCCGCCAATAGGCATTTGGACGAAACGCTCGACTGGTTGATCAGATATACATCCAGGCGGAGAAAGAAGGAATTGTCGATTCTTCCAAAAATGGCAACTCGATATGCAGAAGAAAAAGGAACCTGGGACAAAGCATCGCGCCAAGAGAAAGACATTTCGGAAGAAGCGCTTCAACGAAGCCGCCCGGCATACTACAACGAACTCTCAGACCACGAAACAAGACTTCCGGCCGATATTCAAATCGGTCCTGTCATTCATTACGACAAGTCTGAAAAGGGAGACGTTTTCCTCGACTGTCTCGGCTTGAAGCCCAAGTTATTAGACACAGAAGACGAATGAAAATCTCAGATCATGAGTCCCCATTGGTACACCAAAGAAGACGATAGTTACAGTATTGGTATATGACAAAGACGGATATCAGCTTACAAGCTTCAAATCCCTCCAACCAGATCAAAATCTGAATCTGAACTGCAACATCACCCTCGCAGATCTGACAAACGATGATGAACCGTACCCCGTCCCAACTGCCAGGGAAGTGCATAAATGGTTCAAGAAGTCAGCAAAGACTACTACACCCAAGAAAGCTAAGCCAGCCACACCAGCAAAATCGTCTGCAGCAACTAAACCAACAAAGCCCTCCAAATCGTCTGAAGTGCCGCTCACGGCTAAACAAAAAAAAAAGTGGGATTGGTATTACTATTTCTCTGACGCCTTGTTCTCCTTCTGTATTGCCGACCTTGGCTGTTTTCCGCATTTCCAATTTTTCGTGTTTCGGATTCTCCGAGCGCGCATATTCTTCACAGGGTCCGAATTCGCAATTCTTGTGTGGGAAGCCGTTACCAGTTAGTCCGCTGAGGGAACATCACTTAATGCCTATATGAAGATAGCCATCGGTGAGGTTCCAGCATCATTGAGACCGACGATGTCGGAGGAGAAATTATTAGCCGCCGGATATACGCTGTTGCCGTACACACTCGGCAAAGCATCAGTGAAAGACCTCCAGAGCACCTTTAAACATGGTATTCAACGCTACTTCTCAGATTGTCGCATCAAGGCCTCAATGCTGGGGGCAGAATACGTGCGCCTTCCCCACAATATAATGCATGTGGCTTACCAAGGGCTCGAGGGGAGGACAGCAGAATGAAATCAGGTGATGAAAAGCGCCCATCGTCAAATTACAAGCAGTGCGTCGATGGATGCTCATTACTCATCCAACCCTAAAGATAGGCAGAGAAGCGGTCTCCAGACGGCGTATAGGTACCCGCGATGTAGGCCAGATGTTAATGGCCTCCTGTTTCGGCCTCGCGAGGCGAACCACAAGATGCGAGCTCGGCGTGGCGGATGTCGATTGTTGAGTCGGAGCTTGCAGGATGTCTGCTACACATCGTTCGTCAAACCGACACCAGCCAGTGTCGTGCTGGAGAGCTTGCCCTGGCATCGAGGGGGAAACCGCATGTTTCGGAATGGGACGTCTTTGGTTCTCAGTTGGGGGAATCCGCCAGTCTCGTGGTCGTCTTTTATACGACATAGCGTCACTATACCCACGCGTGAAGCCGAATACGGCGCGTGCAGAGAAGCAGAGTGACGATTCTTGTGCCGGAAAATATGTGCCTTGGAAATGTCGAATTTCCACACTTCAACGGTGGTCGGTGTCGAGCACGGCAGACCATCTGCACCACCTCAGCCGGAGGAAGCAATCGGATTCTGTTTGCTTCATAACCTATTTTGTTCTGTCCGTTGCTCTTTGTTTTATTTTCCTTTTCCTTTGAACGTTGTTTCGACTTTCGCTCTTTGATGTCGTGGCAGCTGCGGAGAGCAAATGACTTTCGCAAGCTGAGCAATCTGGTCGTCTACTCTGCTGATGATATGACTTGAGCTTGTATCTAGGAACGTGTTAGCAGAATTTGAACCACACTGTATACAACATCCGATATGGTGTAGTGGCTAACATCGCCGTCTCTCACACGGCAGCCGGGGGTTCGATTCCCCCTATCGGAGCTTATTCTCTTTTTATATTTTTGTCTGTATTTTCGCTCGGGAGCCAACCGAGCTAGGGTGCAACGTGCGGCGGGCAGAAGACTAGATAACAGGTATATTATATTCACCTACTTTTAGCCGATATCTGCAAGCATTGCAGCTTCCCTTTTCCTTGTCTCCGGAGTCAACTTTGCCTTTTATCTCATGCGCGGAGGCTGAGAGAGGAATAAAAAGGAAGACGTCGGATATCATGAAGCCGGTCCGGGTTAGATATATACACGGCTACTGCCGCTTGATCCCTCCGTGTAGAAACAATGAGACTCGAACAATTGATACTAAGCACGCTTAGTTGCAACCAACCTACAAATAAACTGTGAAGAAGTGCATGTCATATTTGTATATGCCACGCTTGGAAAGTACTAATTACACAAATTGAATCCAGATTAACGTGTTTGCCAGCCATCATAGCACAATATACTCTTCACCATCATCCTGCTGCTAGCCGCCTGTCCCGAACCGCCTTAGTCAAATTGTCACTTACCTCTTGACATTTTAAGACACTAGACACAGTCAGTATCATCACCGCACTACAATAATATCTTTCCCTGCTCCCTCTTCCTTCATTATCCCCACCGTAGGCTGTCAATCACCCGGTACTCTTGTACCTCCGACATGGATGCTAGAGCCGAGCATATATCTCAACCCCAGAAAGGCAATTGCAACTTGGCAAGACAACCGTGCCAGCATAGCGCCCAGCACCCAGCCCGTAGACCGTGGCAAATATTCAACCCCCACGCGCAACAAAAGAGCAATAAGAAAAATCCCCAAAAAGTCAAGCCCGAAGGCTTCTATTCTCACTCCGATAGGGGGAATCGAACCCCCGGCTGCCGTGCACCAAGGAAATTGAGAGACGGCGATGTTAGCCACTACACCATATCGGACGTTGCATGGAAAGAGCCTGTTCAAAACGCCGATATGAGCCAGGTCAAACCCCCCAGACAGAAAAGGCAAAACATCAGTCTACCGCAAAAGAAAATGAGCTCCGATAGGGGGAATCGAACCCCCGGCTGCCGTGTGAGAGACGGCGATGTTAGCCACTACACCATATCGGAATCTGTTGCAGGACGGTTAATTGTAACGCCATCTCAACTAAAACCGAGGCATGACGCAGAGGCTATCTCATAACCCTAAGCCCGGCTGCTCCCGTTCCTTCCGGAATGCGCGTGTTCGATGAACGGTGATTGTTGCGGATTGCAACGCTATGACCATATAGTCAGGTAGCCCATAGCTCCCTCCCCACCGGCTCATTATCTCCTACGGTGGCTGACATAAACCAAACGGACAGAACATGCTAAAGCAAAAATGAAACCCGCATAAGACTGATCTGGGTACCACCTTGCGAATTCAATACGCGGTCTGACGAGTAGCTCGGATCTCTTGGCAGCCCTACACGGGGGCCCCACCCAGCCGTTTCGGGATGCAGTTTGCGAGTGCCGGCCAGCAGTGTGCGCTTCCGATATCTCGGCTCTGGTTTCCTTTGAGTCCCTCGCTAAGTCAGGAGTTGGGCACTGACCAGATAGACAGGAATGGAAACTTTTATCACCGATTTGGAATTGGTGCGTGGGGTTGACTCGGTGAACTCGTACGTCTACTCATATGGCAGAGGCTTTAGGAAGCCTGGAATCAATATTTCTCGCGCTACACATTCGACTTCAATTACAGCGCGTTGAGTGTAGATTTGGCAAGCTGAGGATCCATCCCTAGTGCTTCTGTCGACGAGAGAAGCTCTTAATTTTGATTGAGTAACATCATGAACTTTTTATTAGAACTATAAACATAACTACCTGCATTAAAGGATACCCAGCACATCATAAGTCATCCCCATACAAACGACGAGAGCAGAAAATCAACCCAGTCTACCATCCGAAAGCCTCCTCGAAGTACTCCACCTGGCGGAATCCTCCCTTCATCACCCCATAAACCGCCATCCGGCACTCATCCGCCATCACTGCCGGACCACACGTCAACACCGCCAACCGGGATACACTGGCTCGGGCCTCCTCCGCGACCGACTGGACCGTAGCCGTAATGTCCGGGCGCCCGTAGCGCACCTCCAGACCGAGATCCTCCACCTTCATGGGTCGGGACTCCTGACTGGAGGAATCCTGCACGAACTGGCCGGCCTCCTTGGCCTCTGCACCCACCGCACCGATCTGGGGGACTTCAGCGCTGGACTTCTCGCCGGCGACAATAGTCGTCGTCGTACCCATGCTGCTCTTGTCCGTACAATACAGCGTAGCGTGGATATCCGCGCACTCCAGCGCAGTGATTAGATCCGCGCAGCAGACTTCATCGAACATCTGTCTCTGACGGCCGGACCAGACGAGGTGGATCCTTGTGGTGCGGGTCTTGCCTCCGGCTGCGAGACGAGAAACGTAGTCGAGAATGTAGGGGACTGCCGCGGCGATACCGGTGCCTCCGACAATCAAAAGAAGGGTATCGAACGTGTGCAGCGGGACTTGGTGGCCGTAGGGGCCTTCTAAGAGCAACCGAGGCGCGATGGTCAAGTCCTTACCCCCGGATTTCTGGCACTCGTCGCGGAGACGCCGGGTCCAGCCGTCGTAAGGACGGATGTAGAAGATGAGTTTCGCCTCAGTACCAGATGTGTTGTAGCAGCCCAGAGTGAAGGGGTGGTTCTCCCAGCCGCGTAGTGTCAAGGGCTGGTAGAGATAGTAGTGCTGACCAGGGGCAGGAGTGAGGCTGTGGGCGGCGGGGGTCATTTCGATGCGGATCAGATCGCTGGCCGGGCTGTAGGACACATTGGAGGAGGTGGTGTTGATGAAGCCTTTGCCGAAGCGGACGTTCCAGTTGCAGTAGATCACACGGAGGTAGCGCACAGTGCGGTCAAAGCCCCAGATGGCGACCATCGGCCAAAGGTAGCCGTTGTATACGGTGCCGTCAAAGCTGGTGTGGCTGGTCGCTCTTAGTCACGAGGTAATGCTGTTATCCGGGAAGACTTACCGGAATAGAGTGTATATGGTTAGGATTGCTAGGACTACGTGGATGATCAAGAAGGTCTCGTAAAACTTCTGACGAAGCCATGTGCCGGATTGGAAGAGCATAACAGACATCACCACTGTAGCCTGGGATATGTTAGCTGCGTTCTAGAAGAATTTTGCTTACAATGATTACATACCACGATACCCATGTAGAAGTAATTCTGCTTTAGTGCACTGTGATATCTGCCGTCTGATACGCCAGCCTGTTAGCATGATATTAATGACTGCATTGAGGAGTACCAACCGTAGACCTGAAAAACCACAGTGTAGTTGATTGAATGAACAATAGCCAGAAGAGTGCAAGCCCAAGCCACATGACGGTGGAAGATGTTGAAAGACTGGACATTGAAGTCTGTTGCCCAAAGGAAGATGTTGTTTCGTCCACCGAAAAGCCAAAGAAATGGAAGACAGGCATAAGACAGAATTCCCGTACGATCAGAAGAGTATTGCCAGTTCTGTTGGTAGAGACTCGGCGTCCTATTTGCTCGTCAGACCCAATTCTGCTAATCTGTGATGGTAACGTACTGGATATTCCCGCGGAAACTCTGGTAGTCAACACACGACAGAATGATACACACGGCCCACCAGCCAAAGACGATCAGAAGATCTAGCCGTTTCGGGATGGTGTGAAACCAGAAGAGCTGCTGGTGATTGGACAGGCTCGGGGCAAAGCTGGCAGGAATGACAAAGTGAGTCCGGACGAAGTGAGTAACAGCAGCCATTGGTGCGCAAGAGTTACGGCCAGCCGCATAGAAGCCACTCTTCTCAGAATCGCCGCGTCCGGGGCCATTGAGGTGGGCTCGGAAGGATTTACAGGCCTTGACGATCATGCCAAAAGCCAGTATTCCACCCCAATAGCCCATAAGACCCCAGCCATAACGTTTGTCTTTGCTCAGTGCGTAATCGTGGGTGACCTATCATTTTCCAGTCAATGAATAATCCTGGATTCTTCAAGAAATACATACATAAGATTTATAAGCTCGCTTGTAGTACGAGTGGCTAAGCAGGACTGGACTCTCAATAGTGCCGGTTGTCGTCGTACTATTGGTTTCAGGGTCAATGGTTGGCAAAGATGCGATGTAAGAATCGGTGGCATTGGCAACGATATCAGTCAGATCAATCAGAGTAGCACTATTCTGCTCACAGAGGCTTTGCCAGTAAGGAATGGTGGCTTCCAGTTGCTTCTTGTTACACCACGCCTTCGCACTGGCATACAAGGACATGGCACCCACTGTGCTCGTGCAGCCTCCAGTAGAAGAACTACCGTGATGACCACGTCGAGCCATCCTCTTTGCGAATGCCCTTTTTGAGGAGGAGCCATGTGGTGTTGTGACGACGGCACCTGAGGAGGAGGAGGAGGAGGAGCCATGCGAGGTTGAACCGCTTGCTGAACTGTTGGAACTAGAAGAGCTCTCAGAAGTCGACGTATCGGTTGAGCTTGAGCTGGTTGTAGTAGCACCTGCATACGTGTACGAGCCAAGAGACTCGTATATGGCATAGAAGCAGTAGTCTGCAAGCTCAGGGGCAGACATAGAAAACCCTCCTGCCAGGACGGGGACACCCGTCCAGGCTAAGATCAGGAGAAGTGTACTCGTCACTCTCATTTTGCCGGCTGATGGACAAGACACTCCCGAGATCAGCGTAGTCCGGGTGTCAAGTCAATCTTTATATCGCACAGAATCCTCGTATTGGACCTACCCACTTCCTCGCAATGAGGGTCCTATTCGAGCACGCTCATTACACAGGCGTGGCGGAACCCACCGGAGAGAATCGAGCTAATCTCCAGCGAACCAGTTATCAATCTCCACTTGATCATTGCACGATGCCTCCTTGACTCGGAGTATCTAGACTGATGCATTTAGTTCAGCATGTAGATTCGCAGTCATCGGACTTGTGGACTCCAGTGCGATATGTGTAGCGCCGTGAAGGCATTTTTTGGGACATATAGCCGACGAAAGAGAACCACAAGTCAAAAGTCAATAGTGGCGGCCTCTTCCCCGCCAACTTCGTATTTAGCCCGGTTGTTGCATGCAGAGATTTCATTTTCTGACAACATCTCCCTGACGGGGCGAAAAGCATAGAAAGTTCTGTCTTGTCCAAGACGAAAAACCCCGAAGACCCACAAGTGCCACACTGTGGAAGCAAGGTTTGATTGATAATTCGGAGCGTGGAACAATTGATCAATCTGATAAGATCCACTTAGCATGCGATCAAGCACGGTATAACTGGCTAGAAAGACCCTTGGGCCGACGTATACAAGGTCTTGGCAGTGGTGACCCAATCTAACCCCGAGTTTCTTGGCGGCCCACTTCCGTCGGTTGCTTGATTCTTTTTCGGGCCCCATCCTCGCAAGCTACGTCCCTTTCGGGAGATGTGCACGCATTTCCAGGCAACGACCTCATGTATCCATCAGACAACTGATGAAGTGGCTCGGGTGTTCTTGGCATCGCTTGTATCGTGAGTCATGGTTTGCACGGAGGCTTTCTTTGGATGCCGGTTTTCGGCACATGTCCCCTACTAGGAAGGTCAGTTAAGTGAGCATCAAGAAATGCACGGCGGAGAAATAGATTCCTGCAGACAGTAGTGAATGCGAGACTAAGATACATCTTCACCATGCTACTCCGAGCGCTGAAGCGAAGTAAGGAAAGACGAAACTCACTATTTCACAGTAAGAGTCTTTTCCGTGGGTCGCTTTCAACAAAGCACAGTTGATGCTTCACCGGTACCAATTCACGAGTGGAGTTTCCGTAAAATGATGGGTTTCGACCTCGGAAGCCAGACCCTTGATTCCGATGCTCAATTCATTGTAATTTGTGAGATGTCCCACACTTCACAGCATAGCATTTCCGCGCAGACGAGCTCTCATGACCCGGAGCCAAGCATTTTTGAAGAACTTCTCTCCCCGAATTTTTATCAATCAGACCTGGAGCTTACACACTATTTGTTGCCGTGGCAAGTCCGGTACCGAGAGAATTCATTCCACGTTTGCGGAGGAGGTAAATGTGCCACTGAATGAGAGCGAAGAACGGAGCCTTCTCATAAAACTCCACTGGGGCAGACAAATGTAAGAAGGAGGTTCTTAGGAACAAAAGAAATGGTCTGCCCTATGAATGACATTCTCGTGGTCGATATAAGCTTGGCACATACAGCAGGGCTGTCCTACAACTCTTATGGATTGTCATCATTGGCGGTTTTCTTTTCGCATGTCACAGAGAAGGTAGCCATTGTGACAGTGATTGATAGAGCCGGCTAGCTGTGTCGTGGGTGACTTAAATGAAGCTGTCGAAGTGGCTAGAAAAGAGGTGGTGGATGGTAATCCCTTCGCAGGCTATTACGTGGGATGTGAGCGAACTTGCGTATAATCTGGAATGTTAGTACTCGCAGAGAAAGGCCATGAAGAACCATAAAATGTGAATGGAATAACGGCGGATGCAAGACGGAAGATCATGGTATCGCAATCTTGCTTTTGCGAGCAGGTGGTGACAGACCGGATGACGCGTCAACAAAGATGATGAGCAGGAGTGGCGTGCCTGGGTGCCTGGGCGCCTGATCAACTCTCCAGGCCGTCGGCCTTGATTTCCTGATCAGGTAATGTCCATGCATGCGTTGCGTGTCTGCCATCGACTCCCTTATCTCAGATAAAGCCACATCTTTCCAGCCAGATGTGTTGCATTGATCGATACAGTCCACTCTTCTCACAGATTAAAAAATGCATCGGTCATGCATTCTCGCCTTGATCTCCGCCATAGGAGCTGCCACCTCTCCTCTTGCCGCTGACAGCGTTCCCCCTGAACCTGTCCAGAATGCGAACCACATCTTCAACGCCATCCACTCGTCCATGAGACAATGGGGCTCAGCACTCAACCACAACGGCATGTCATTCTTCCTGGCAGAAATGCCACAGGGAATCAAACTCTACCACGGTGACGGCCATCCAGAGCACATTACCGGAGTCCGATGGCTGGCCTTCGACCCCGAGCATGCATTTGCTTTCGCGCGATCAGGACCGAAGAGACCCGAGACACCTCCGAAACCTTCATCTGGCTCTCAACAAGTGATGGGCGGGGACCAAGATGGACCAGCCGGGGAAGACAATGGCGGATGGCTCCACACCTACACTACGGCCAAGAATCTTCGCCTCATTCTTATCGATGGGATGTCAGCTGGCAAATCCAAGATTGGGACTCTCGACCTGCAGGACCGGGTGCTATTTGAAGATGAGTTTAACGGTGGCGTTTTGCAGGAGAATGTGCGTGCAGAGGCCGTGTGTCGCATTGCAAGGGAAGAGTGGAATGATCGGGTGGATGGGGTTATTCGGCTGGCTTCGGGGTTCGAGGTGATTCTCTGCAATTCAGAACAGAACCTGGAGCCTGTTCATGTGGCAAGAGTGAGGTCTTCTAGTCCGAGGAAAGGGGACAATGAGAAGAAGGGAGGGAAACCGACCGAGGTCCTCCAAGTGATGAGGGCCAGGTACAATGGCATCGGCGGTGATTGGGTGGTCTTGAACTACGATCATTTCGTCACGGCTTACAACCATTCCCTGAATCTTTTTCCGGACGACAGCACCGCCCCACGTCTTAACCACCTTCCATTTGCAGAGTTGAAACCCATCCGCAAGAGCCTCACATCCCTCGTAATGGCGCATGATGTCGGACACAGACAGGTGAACTGGCAAGCGATCACTGATATGATTGTCCAGAAGTACAGCCACCCGCTGCGTGAACTGGCTTCAAGACACCACCACCATCACGGCTTGTTCTCTCTGGTCGCAGAGGTTGCACGCATTTGGAATACATTCGTCGATCAGGACAACAGAGATGTTGACGAAGAAATGGAGAGATGCGCAACTCAGTTCATCCCCGCCAATGCTGCCGATGACTCGCTTGCCCACCGCGCAGTTTATGCTGTTAGCAGTCGGATCTGCGCTTCGTTTGTCGAAGTCCTGGAGACGAAAGAATATGATGTCGCGGTTGATGTCTTGCGATCACTGATGGACTATTTAAGTTGGACAGTGTGGAAGGAGTGCCACGGCTGTCATGACGATGAGTTTTGTCAAATCCCGATCTGGCCTCAGGGGTCGTGGGACGACTTTGAGCACCCGCGTTGTCAGAAATTTGAATCAGCGTACCAGGGTCCTGATGATTTCTGGGGACTCGTGTGGAGATGAGAGGACTTGCGTGCATTTGAAAACTGAGTATAGGTGCAGTTGGCTGAACGTACCTCCAAGCTGCAATTTATGTTGGACATTTGACGCATTTTACTGTGGTTTTGATCCATTTATGATTGATTTCAGAACTCAAATTAAGTATAATGTCAAACGAGGGATGAAGCAACGTCTAAATGAAGCCCCGTAACATAGAACAACACAGCCTCGAACCCTTTCATAAAATACTTCCCCTCTCCCATCCCAGCCCACTCTCTCCATAATACATACCACTACTAAAGTACAACGACCACAACCACAATCGCATCTCAGACTCTCCACACCCAAATCAAACCATATTACCACTTACGCACCCTCAAACCATGCCCGCCGTCCTCCCACCGAACTACACCCTCCACCAGGGCTACCCCGCCGTCGAATCCTACCTCCACCTCCGCCACACCAAGAAACACCCGAAATCACCAACCGCCCAACAAGCCGAATCCGCCCTCCGGGGAAGCTGGTACGGCTGCTACATCACCTACACGGCACCAGCTTCACCTTCCACCTCCGAAAAAATTACCACCACCAACCCAGAAACGCAAAAAACCGGCGAAGTGGTCGCCATGGCCCGCCTCATCAGCGACGGAATCTGCACCTTTCACCTGACGGACCTGCTCATCGCCGCGGACCACAAGTACAAGAAGCTGGGAAACGTGGTCGTGGCGCATCTCCGGGAGAAAGTCCGCGAGTATGTGGTCGGCTTGGGGATTGGCGAAACAGATAAAGAAGGGGAGGAGAAGGAGGCTGCCCTTCGGAGCACGGAGGTCACGATGCCGGTGCATGCGTGGCCGGAGGAGCACGAGATCTATTATGCGGAGGGGTTTGTGGAGGCGTGGCCGTCGTCGAGGGGCATGGTGTTGGATTGGAGGCAGATTCATGATTTTGATTTCGATGAATGAATTGGGCATGGATGGGGTGGCTGTGGGTGAGCTGGGGTTTATTGGAGAGCTAATGTGGGTGAGGCAGGTCTGTGTCTTTGTGATCGATGACTTTATGGCGATGGGACAGATGACTCCAATTGCTACTTAATCCGATTTGAAAAGATGAAGAGGGCGGAATGTAATGGTCATTGCTGTAAAATTAACATCCTCAGGCATCAAGCCGGCAGGCACTAATACTCATCCGATTCCTCGCCATCATCCTCCTCGTCTCCCTCCTCCACATCCCCCTCAAATTCCTCCCACTCATCATCATCCAGATCATCGAAATCGTCATACCCGGGAAAACCGGCCTCATCCTCATCATCCGACCCGACCAACATCTGCACATACATCTCCTGCAGCAACTCGCGGAACGCCTGCTCATGGCCCTCGGCCAACGCCAGCCGCTCGCGCAGCACCTTCTTGGGCTCCCACTTAGTGGGATCCATGAGCTCCTCCTCGGTCTCGAACAGCGTATCGGCCAGGGTATTGGCAAAGAAGCCCATGAGCAGCGTGCTGACGCCCAACACATACTCCGTCGAGCAGCTCCAACCGGACTCGTCGCGGGCCAACCGCGTCGCCAACCCGGCCACGTCCTTCGTGCGCAGCAACTCCCCGAAGTCGCTCTCGGGGAGACCCTGGATCGCTCCCTCGGCGCCCTCAGCCGCGTAGCGGATCAGCGCGCGCGTCTCGTCCCAGTCAACCGTGTGGCGGTCGCAGAGCAGCATCAACAGGATCGAGGTCGGGCACTCATTGTGCCGGGTCTCGCCGGCCAGAACACCGTTGAATGCGGCGGCCTCGGCCTCCAACCGGCCGTGGAAGGGCGTCCAGAAGGCCGTGTGCCACGGGTCCGCGGCGGTCGAGGACGGGTGCTTGGCGGCTTCCTCCTGGATCCCCGTGGGCAGGTACTTCCGGTACCGCGTGACGGCCCAGACGCTGTAGAGGTTGTCGAGCTCCTCGCCGAGCTTGACCTTGGTGGCGAGGTCGAAGGAGAGGTTGACGGGGGCAGCGGGGCTGCTGAGACTGCCGCCGGTGGGCTCGAGCGACTGCTCGTACTGCATCATGCGCATCGCGGCGTTGACGTTGCCCGGTTCCTCGAGGAGCGTCTCGCATGCTTGCTGGTAGGTGTGCAGCAGCTCGGCTTGCTCGGCGGACAGCTGCAGGCCCGGGTGGTGCTCTAGGGCCTCGGCGTAGCTGAGGCGCTCCTTTAAGCCCTTCTTGTTGGTCGTGGAGAGCTCCTTGTAGGGCGTCGGAGGGGCGAGGTAGCGAAGCGGGTTCATCTTGTTTTCGACCTTCCGGTGCGCTTGTTCTTTTGTGGTGTGTTGATGATCCCCTACGGTGGCTGTAACTTATGGCGGTAAGAAAAGAATCTGTCGGGTTGCGCGCGCACGGGCCAGGGTCCACTGTTTCAGGTACGGGTACGGGTACGGTACCGGTGGGTCGGGGCTGCAAAGCTTAAGGGCTGGACCGGACATTTGCAAAGCATCACAAGTAACAAATTACAGTAGAACAGTGCATTATGGTTCAAAGAAATGGAAGACACATTCATTCTTGGTACTATGGCAGAAATTAACAACATTCTGGTGCGGCTTGTGTGACTCAGTACATGTACACGGGCATCGCCCAAGTCAGAATACTTCCCAGACCTAGACAATCGCTAAATCACTCTCACCACCTGAAGCGTTCTTCGCGCAGGAGTGCAATGATTGTGTTCAGATGCCTGAGAAATTCTGGGGATTCATCACTGATACTCAGATCAAGGATAAATTGCTTCACTTGCTCTTCTTCCGATCCGAAACGTCCTCGATCAACCGACGCACATGTGCACTTAACCCAGGCCCTTCTTCCCATGGCGGGACCACCGGGATTGTGGGATCGATTCCCAGAATAGTCTTCAGGCTGCTGAGATGCTGCTCTCTCTCCAATGATCTCAAGGAGTCCACCTGCTTGTCGAAATTCTCGTTCTGGTTTTTCTCATATGCGTTGATCAGGAGATGCTCCAACTTGGGCGGCAACCGATCAGCGAGCTGGTATTCATCGTCTCTCGCGGTCCTCACCCCCCTCGCCATGTACAACAGGTACTGAATCTCCAGATCCAAGTGCTTCAAGGCGGAGAAGTCGGCCAAAGAACCGGCTTGGTCCCAAATCCAGACCGGCAGCTTCACTTGCCTATCGATCAAAGCCATCTCATGCGCAATTCGGATTGCTCCCATTTGTCCGCGTTTTTCGAAATCCTCACTTAGGCCAAGAAGAACCCGTTCTACCGTATCTGTATTAAGATCTATGTATGCGGCATCTATATGTAGAAGCTCCAAGGTTGTACGGTGGACCAAAAGCGCTTGGAAGACGATTCGAAATGCGGTCCATGTACCTCTAAGGTCGCGACCGACTAACTCGGCCCCGATGGAGCATCCAAACTCTCGGAGCTGCTTGCAAAGACAGATAATTCTTGCCAAGTCCATGCTGTCGACCGTCGAGTGCTCGATCCGGATACGGGTAATATTGGACGAGGCAAAGGGGACCCCGTGCTTACCGACGACATTTGTTCTCAGCCCATCCATGCCAATCGACTCAATCGATGGAAGACGGCGAAAGAGATTTAGGAAGTCAAAGACGTCCGTCATAAGAATGGCTTCATCTTCTATCCAGGATGTGTCGCACGTCTCGTCGATCAAGTATACGTCGCGAAGCTTTCTCAGGAGCTTCGGCCCTCGGGCACCCGGGAACGTGTCCCTGTTGTTGATTTGGTGCAGAAGCCAATGCAAAGGGAGCCTTATACGCTTGTGGTTGATGGGGTCTGTTTGCCAGGGCACGACAATCTGGCTGGGAAAGGGCTGGGAGAGGGCCATGGATTCTACTTCCGGTGCCACGGAGATAAGAAGTGCTGTCAGAACCTGCGCGAGAAGGGGCTCGTGGCAACGAAAAAGCCTAGATTGGGTTTGAGGGTAAGCACTGAAATAATTGCAGCTCAAGGGAGGGGGCTGGCTGACCTGGCTGGATGATTGGCTGGATAACTGACTGAATGAAACTCCTCTTTTTCCCTGCGATGGGTGACACCGGATATCTGCTTAACTATCGTAATCAGGGGTTCAATCCCACGGTCAGGAAATCCTGCTCTGTAGATTGCTGCTCGGATCATTTCCATGTCTTCCTCAGCTGGTGCTGACGCATCGAACTCACAGGAGGGTGGGTGCCGGTAGGTCATCGTCACAGGCTCCCAGTACTCAATATGACGCACATAGCGGCCTAGATATGGCTGTTTCAGGATGTCCATCAGGGCCGCGAAGGCGCTCTCAAGATGCTTGGCATTGTTTGTAATGCGGATCTGGCGGAACCTCTCACGGGCCCTCATATCACACGCCTGGTAGAGATGGGAAGACTGTGCAGCCAACGCCGCAATGTCGTCGTAGGACTGTAGAAAAGAGATAATGTGGAGTATGATCTCGGTCGGGAGATGGGTGAGTTGACCCATCTTTGGCAGCGTGATCAGCCTAAGCGTGTGTATGTTCTTATTGATGAAAATAGATATTTTCCCTGCATGAACAATCGAACGATCGATCAGATCTTGTTGTTTTTGCGTTCTCAGAAGCCCATAGTGCGAGCACAAATTCTCACGGAAACGTACTGTCCCAGGCAACCATCTGCGGGACTGTTGATGTCAACACCCTGCAGCACGGGTCGTCTGTCTCGTGAAGAACAGCGTTAACAAGTGATAGGAGATGCAGTAGTGGTCAAACTGCTGTGGTGGTAGCTGGGCATGCACGATCAGAATGTAATGCTTGATATGTAGACAGAAAAGAGTGCAAGGTTGTAAGAAGTGTGGTAACAGTGTAAGAGAAAGAAGTCAAAGAAGACAACTCTTTCTGTGCGATATGGATCATAACAGGAGTCCTTCATTGCCGAAAAGGGGCAAGCGCCTTCTCCCGTCTAACACTCCCAAAGCTTCGCTCACATTTCCTCTGCCTAGTGACTTCTGCAATTTACACAAAGGCCAAACCAGAAGCCTGACGTGGCAGATCTGTCAGCAAGATAAGAGCCAAGAGTTATGACAACATGTATCATTGAGCCACCCTTGCAAAGAAGTTATAAACATGAAGACATAGGGCATCAATCGGTTTTCAACAATTGCTTCTCACTCAGACGCTGGGTCGCAGAACTACTACATCAGGAAGATGCTTCGCAGATGGCATCTCGCAATATCGCTGCTCTACCCATCGATCCGGAAGGGAATCGAAGAATTCCAACAGCCACCATCTAGCCAATCCCCAGTGACATTCCGAACAGGAACATCCTTGCCAAACTCAAGGATAACGCCCCCTCCAGGCGCACTGCCATTGAACGCAGTCCATCCTACAGTGGTGTTGATTGTCGAGGCATCTTTGAGGTATGCTAGGAAGAAATCCTGCATCGTCTCCGAAGTTTTGACCTCGAGCTCGGTGATGTTGCCGACATCCAGCATATAAGTGCCGAATATCATGAGGAGATCAGTCCAGTGAAAGGCGCCGAGCCAGGGGACGGGGCTGATGTTACTGAAGTTTCCTGCGAGAAGACAATTGTTAGCCCTAGACCATTTACCTAGGGTGACGAACGTCTACTTGCCGGCCCAATAATATCGGTAGGTGTCAAGGCCGATGGACGCGCGAAGCTCCGAGTCAGAACGTGCAAGACAGTCGGACAATCCTTCTTCTTCGGCAACGTATGTACTGTTCTGATCCGGAAACTCCCTGGCGGCGTCAGATCGAATCGACGGTCCCGGAGCAACCTTCCCCTGAGAATATCGCTCGGTCTCATTCGAAAAGATGTATCTTTCATCGGCTAGATTGCAGGATTAGCCCGACAGTCGAAGGCTGAGGGAGCTAAACTCACGGATATAGTTAGTAAAAGCAATCGAAGGCGTAGCGTTGTAGCGGTTAATGTATTCCTCAATCTGCACCCAGGAAATCTGTCGCATACACTCAAGCTCGGCTTCGTAGTCGTCTCCATAATTACATCCAAGCCCCTTGGCAACAATGTCAAAATCTTGATAAACATCACCGGCCGTTGCCAGGTCCAGGGTGGCCGATGCACCTTGTGAGATCACTCCAAACTTGGCAGCGAGAGGGTCGTCGGGGAACGCAAGAGTATACAGATGCGTCAAGATACCTCCTTGCGATTGACCCCACAGCTAGTTGCCCAATCAGAGATTAGATATAGTAGAAGGTAATTCTGAAAATCGTACCATTATGTTTTCAGCATCTCCTCCAAAAGATTCGATATTCTCGTAGGCCCATTCGACTGCAGCTCTGACATCTAGCAGGGTCAAAGAGGTCTCATTCAATGCCCGGGATTTGGGATCTGCAAACAAGGTCAGTCAATGTCTCGCCTGGTAGTAAAGTCAACCCACTCCCGAAGATATTTGATCGATAATTAATGGTAATCACAATGTGCTCCTGAGATCGCGAGACCCAATGTGCCGGCAGCTGAGAGGGAATATCAATTCCACCCGTGATACCGCCGCCACCTGTTACGAATAACGCCACCGGGAGTTTAGAGGTGCGATTAGCTGAAGCAGGCGTCCAGATAGCCATTGATAAACAATCTTCGGCCGACGACCAGGCAGTGGAGCCTTGATCCAATTTCTCGCCGATGTTGAGCAGCACATTGGGGGGCTCGTAGGTATTCCAGAAACTGGCTGGCGCAGTCACGTACTGAGGACAAGCTGTCAAGGATGTGAGTGGACGCCGAGGAACAAATTTTATGGGTACCGTAGGGAGTTACCTGGGCCATAAAAGGTAGAATCGATCCGCTTCTTGGACCTTTGCGGCTTTTGCGGAGGCATCCAACGTAGATCCCCAACGGGAGGCTGAAGAAGACAAGATCAATATGCGGTATGAGAATCGTCCGAGAAAAGCTTGAATGTACCTGCGCATATGGAACTCGAAGGAATTGTCGAACATTGGGGTAGGTATCATTGAGCATGCCAATGAAAGTTCCAGTGTGCGTCTCGACAGTCAAGTTCGACCAGTTCGACAAGGTGCGTGGGGCTTCCCATGTCAAATTCGCATAGTAAGGGTCTTCTGCACTGGCTGATACCAGAGTGGCCAAGCTCAGAAGACCAAGACTAGAATACCTCATGACGCTGAGAAAAGACCTATGGCAGGATGATTTATGCAAATGAGACTCCGTAGCATACAACGACAGAAAAAAAAAACACGGAAGTAGGGCCCATTTTATAGGCCTACACCATGACATAGCGGCCCTAAGCTCAACTCCATTGTAGACGAATCCTTGTTTTGAACGCAGTATACAAGGGATCTTGCGGGATGGCACCACTTTTTGCCTGCAATGTGGAGTTGCAAAGGGCGGGGAAATCTTGCGGAGACCATCCACCTTGTCCATGAACGGCAATCAAGGCCGGTTTCCGCTGTAGACCCGGACGAAGAGACTTGAAACAGTAAACTTCACGACGAATGGTTGCTTGAAGGCCGGATTACCCCGCGGTGTCATAAAAGCATGGTCCCCTGCTCGGATCATCGCATGATGGGGGGAAAAGATAATATCCGGATCATTGAACAGCCCAAGCTTTTCTTGGGCATGATTGACATACGGGCCGCCGAGGTCGGTTCAAGAAGCCTAAATGGGCTGATTGGAAAAAGGCTCCCTTGCAAAAGCTGGTACACTTCTCTAATACGGTGACCGTTCTGCTAGGGATGATGCGCACTTCTAGTGTCGTAAAGGCTTCATGTCTCTCAAACAGTCATCTCAACAACATCGGCAACGGTAGCCTAAGCAGCTGGAACAAGAGATAGCCCTTCAACATACAAGGCTCTTGTTAGGTAATGCACATTCGTGATGGACACCGTCCACTAGATGCTGATCGCGCAGCATGATTCAGGTTCCTTTGCCCAACCCAGGCCTTTTCAGGTCAAGTTTGCCCAGCAAAGCTACGCTAGCCGCCAGGGAATCCGACTTGATGGCAAGGACTTTCGATCGTATCTTTGGTGCGCAAAAGAACTGTGGTATGCTATGCCTTGAATCATTTAAATCAGCTTTCTATCTTTATTAAGATTTCGAGAATGGCTACCTCTCTGAGGAGTCGCATTTGTGACTGGCAAGGCGGTAGATAGGCGACCAAACCTATTTCCTCCAATCACATACAGGCCAGAGAACCTTTTCTCGATACTCCCAACTCACAAACTCATGTCTCGAGAACACCCATGAAGCTCTGGATGTATTCATTACCAGCAGTAGGGAGTATTGTTCATAAAATTGACTAGTGCTTTGAAGAAAAAGCATTGTAGTCTCGAAGGATGGTGAACCCAGTGATCCCTGCGTTTATCAAACAACTAGTATAAAATAGGCCATGGGATCTTCGTGCAAACAGTCCAAACATTATGAAGAGCAGCCAACTTAGCATACTGCAAGGCATCACCTGTTGGGGGGACCTATAATTGTGACAAAAAATGTCTCCACTCTTGCATAACACTGATCAAGATGTCAGTCGCCTAGCTAATTTGTGTTATCATGGACGATGAGAACAGATCTGATCAGGACAGAAGGTAAGGTTGAAGTCCAGCTCAGAGACATCTTTGTCAAAGATGGTCTTAAGTGAATATGTCAGATGGCCCTGTAGAAGTAACACAGAATAAATCACTGTCACTTCAGCAACTCGGTCACTGAATCAATATCGTTGCCTCCGTACTCAGTAGTTGCCTGTCTCTCTCCTCCAATACTTCCTTCCTTGACAACCACACTCTACAACGTCTCTCAAGATTAGTATCACTCATACGAAGCTGGACTTTGACACGATTGCTCATGACATCCCGGTTGAAGATCTCACGCACACCCTCGCAGGTTGCTTTAACCGAGGGGTGGGAAAAACACGTTACGAAGATCAAAGTACGTATCCTTCAGGGCGCGATTGGAGATGCATTCGCTGATCACTCATGTATCTAGACAAGCAAAAGGGCCACTGTCAAGCTTTCCAAAACCCCGTATTTCACTTGCCAAGCGGATAAACCGTGTGACACTTTTCACAAAAACACGCACTTCCGCTCATTCTAGTCAGGCAATCCCGCAATGGAGAACCTGACCGAGGAGTACAGTGCCGATCTCACTGGCTTGAATCCCCGCGAAAGAATTGCAGCCATCCGCAAGATCCAGGACGATATTCTCGCTGGACTGCCACTCAACACCCTCTACATTGTTCTTCACATCCGTAATGACCCTCCTGGCCAGAACGACTTTCATTGGGGTTTGTATTTCCATGACAGAGTCACCGGTGGAGTCAAGTACCATGTCACCAACCCCAGCAGCGAAGGCCGCGGCTGGCCCGCGGACCACGCCAGGACTGCCGGTGTAATGAGATCGAACCTTCTATGTGCCCTGGATCTGATCGCTACTATCCCTAGCGACAAGGTCGCTCAAGTTGATCCGATCATGAGATTCCATGATGAACACTTGAATTCGATGCCTGGGCTCACCTGCCGCGTTTGGGTTCTCACTATTGTGAAGAAGCCCGTTGAGCAGGGCCTTGTGCGCTGCAACGACCTGAAGGCGCTTGAGGCGGAGTGCTTTGCCTTGGGCAATCACTTCTTGAAGACTGCTGCAGCAGCTATCCAGCCACGCCCAATCATCAAGTCGCGCGTGTGTCACTGAGATACGGCTAGTGAGACTCTGCCTTGGCAGCAGCACACAGTCCAAGACCAGGTCCATGATGAAATAGCTTTCGGAAATAATCTTTCTTTTTTTGCTTCATCTTTATGTTTCATTTTCTCTCCAAGTGGCTACCTGATGTAACTATCTTTCGTTACTTGACAAGTACGTAGCACTAGAAATAATGACAGATTTGCTTGGCAATCTCCTGACTCCCAATGATTGTCGGTGTCTCTTTATGCACAGTCAGGTCTTGGAATTGAGTTTCTCTGAGATGTGCATCAGGTGATGAAAAGTAAGACCATGAACGGCCGCTCGTAAGATGCCAACGCAACCTGCCTCAGAAGTAGGCATAGGTGTCCACCGTCAAACTGTTCAAGGCACGATCATAGTCCAGTTCCTCCAGATGCTCGGATCCCCCAATTCAAGAAACCGCTCTGAACCACCATGAATCCCTTCCAAATCGCATGGCCGTAGTGTACTCCCAGTACTCCGGATACCAGCCGGCAGACTCCCAGTCTAGCATTCCGGAGAGATGACCGTCGTCACCCACAAGAATATTGTGGGCCATGAAGTCTCCTTGGGTGAAAACCATCCTGTACCTGCGTTGGTCGAGCTTCCTTGCTACTGCCATAGCCTTTTCGAACTCAGCTTGAGACTTGAAAGCATGGCTTGAGGCTGGAGAAAGAAGAAAATTGTGGAGCTGGGTTTGGTTTCCAAATGGTCCCATGATATGGCAGGGAACACGTGAACTTCGTAGGCAAGTTCCGAGCGGCGACGAGACCCAATTTTGGCGGGAGGCGGGAGGCGTCCACATGCGCATGGCATGCACGCACGTCTTCAGCTCCTGCAGCCAGGGCTCTTCTGTTTCCGGATTATATTCTGGATCGATATAACCACCAAGAGTGATCCCTGGAAGCCGAGTCATCAGGATCGAGACTCTTCGGCAGCAATCTGGAAAAGGATGTTCGCCATAATTCAGAACTTTTGGCACAGGTAATCCACCGGCTCTTGCCATCTGTGTAGCGACCGCTTCCTCGACGCTGCTGCGGTCTGTCCATTTAATCACGAGTCCGAATGGCAGTGGGATGATATTGTAGTCGAAACGGATTCCGAACCACGAGCAGTACCACTGGGAGAAGTAGCGTAGCGCTCTGTGCACGAGACCCCATGCTAGCCTGATGGGTTTCCAGGAAACACGAGGTACTGGAGGTGTGGCTGGGGAGACAGTGAACGGAGCCCGACAAGGCCACGTATAGTCAGGACGTAATATCGATGGCACGAATGATGTCGCCATGATTGTTCGTTGGTGGAGTGTTGTTGAAGGTAAGTAAGGTAGTTGTTGTTGTCTTTGTAGATCGGGTGGAATCTATGGTGATCCGCCAGGCCCACCTTCCGTTCTGCCGCCGTTGACCGTCTCGGTTTAGCCTCAGCTATACTTCGTCTTGGTCGTTAACTCTCCACGCTCTTTACTCGCTCACTGTGTACTGTATGCCTCAGACCCTGGACTAAAGTTCCCAAGTCACAAAGCCTAAACAGACCCAAGCAAGCTGTGTTCGGCCGATCCTGATGATTATTCACGGCTGGAGGATATGCTCTTCCCTACGTGTCGAGAAATTTCACCATTTGTCTCTAATACGGTCTCGCACACACTTCATTCTATACAAAGGAGTCGCTCTGGTCCTCGAAGATCTCTTTGTCTGAAACTCATATCATGGTACTTAGATCTGCACGTACAAAGACTGATTGTTGGGGAATGAGAGTACTCAAACCCATACCTTTGGATGATCTACCAGCATAGGCCCTTCGAGTCAGCTCCTTCCACCCTATAGAGGCGGAACATCGAACTCATGCTTGGAACCTCACAGGCGACTACCATGGATCCCAATCCGCTACCGCTACCGAGCGCACTTTCCTCGACTGCGCTTCCGGGCTACTGCTCGAGGCAGTCACCGACGACTACCTAGTACCTAGTATCATTGTTGCGATCCTAAGAGACGTGCCTGGCAATTTGTCCGCTACAAGTCGGTGCTCTTCACTATCACTTTCATACCCGAGATACCTCTTATTTTTAGCTGTTATACCAAAGATATCATTACCTAATTCAGCTTTCCTCTTGATCTGCGCGATGTCTGGTCCCTCAAACCATGCTTTTCGGTAAGTAAACCACCCACAAAGTTTCCCACCGACGGAGCTTCAGTTCGACTAACCAGCTTTACAAAGCCCCAGAAGCTCTACAAAGACCTGGATACAGCGGATGACTGCCCTCTCACCTCGTGTGCGTATCTCGACTGGAGACCCCTCTTACTACAGCCGCGATCGCCTTAGCAGCCTTCATATAGAACTATTATATATGATAGCCGACTTCCTGCTACCACAAGATGAAGCATCCCTTTCGATATGCAGCCATCATCTATATAATATCTTCGGATGTTTCCCTTTCCCTTGCCGACAGACTGCCTCAAGAAACATATTTCTCCAGAGAATGGCTCGAGACCTTCCCGAGTACGTCTACTGCACTTCTTGCTACTGTCTACACTCAAAGAACACTCTGGGTCCACCGGGACCTCTTAACCAGCCTTCGATCCTTTGGAATAAGCACGGTATACTTGATTACGATCATTCCTGGGCCCTTAGAAGAACCACTGTGGCCTTTTCTGCCGCATATCGTTTCAGGGGCATTCACCTTAACTTGGCGCTGAAGAGGTATCATTGCGGGCCTGCGCATGGGATGTCTACGAAATGGCTATCCTACATCCAGGTCAATCGGGACCCGGCGACGCCTGGAACAAAATTGTTTTCGGCTGACGTGCAAATACTTCCAAAACTGCACCGCGTGTGCCTTCGCATACAAACCTGGTTCTTGGCCAATCCCAATAACCTGTTTTACATGTGGACGATTCCATTTCCACTTTGTGACCATCTGTTCGTCCCTGACTTCGATGACATCAGGTACTGTATGCAGGACAATCGTCAGGCTGGTTGCCTTCCGGACAAGTACCCTGATCCGGAGTTTTACCGCTGTCCTCACTGTAAGATGAAGTTCGAGATACGCCTGGTCTCTTGCGGCAACGACGGTGATGCTTTCGTTATTACCAGGTATTTAAATCTGGGCTCGGGTGGCGTCCACCAGGAATATAAATGGCAACGACATGTCGGCGGTTCTGTTCTCTCGACTTGGGACAACCTCACGCTTCAGCCCCAGGGCTGGGGCGAAATGATCTTGGAGCATGAGAGTAGTAACGGACTTTCCTATCAAGATCTGACCCACCGAAACGGTCGACTTTTATACCAGAGAGCATATGAGCGAGAGATGGATCAACTGTTGGAAGGAGAGTGGGTACTACAGCAAGACGAACGACTACCGCAGGATCTGAGAGCGGCACTACCGATCCGTCGTCGTTAACTACACCGTGTTTCCCAGAATCGGCATTTAGACGGCTGTCTCTGCAATACTTGTTATTTCCTTCTTTCCTTCTTTCATTTTCTTTTCTTTGCTTTTTGCTTGCCTGTTTCGAAAGACCAGCAATGATGCAATGTTCAGATCCGTTTCGTCTTGAGGCTCATTGCCTACTCCGAGAACACCACATTCTTAGCTTTAACTGCACAGTACACCTTGCACCCACTTCAATTTAGATAGATATTCTGGTGTTGTGAGCCGAGCAGCGGATCCCTAATTAGCTAATGGAAGAACGCAATCAGCATTTACCTGTGCCATCCAGCTTTATTATGCGCAAAATCCTGTTACCTCCGGCAAAATGAAAGCCTCTACGGAGGATTGTTAGCGCGCCCAAAAGCGACTACCACATAAACAACCAGAGCGTCAACTCTGGAGTATACAGCCTATTATGTACTGTACCTATCGTTTTTTCCACAATACTACAAAAAGTTCGGCGCGGGCATCGGCGCAAAGGTTCAACCTTTCTGGGGAATTTCGGCGCCCGGAGGTTTTAGCTCACACCGGTTGAACCCCTAAACGTCCGGGGGCGGACTCGGAGGGTTTATGAGCATGGGTTCAACCTTCGGCGGGTTTGGTCTTTTTTAGTTACCGGGTTCAACTTACCCGCTCGGGGTTTCCCGACCGAGGGGAAGTTGGCCCCCGGAGACAAGTATTTACATACTACGCCGTGATTTCATTGGTAATTTGCTTAGGGCTATTGTTGGGGCATTGGTGGGAGGGTATTGATTTGCTGATAATTTTGTGAATGGTTGGCGAAGTGTTGAAACCTCTCGGATTATTCATTGCAGTAGAGAAAGTGTTCATGTTTCATGGCTCGTAGCGCGTCATAAATTAGTGTCTATACATAATGGCGAGAGTCTCGGATAACCAGCGGGTTGGCTCACTGGCTCGGTAAACAATGCGAGGTCGCGCTCTGTGGAGGCATCGCGAATGGCGAAAGTGGGCATGCATTCCCACTTAGCACGGACGCGAGGCGATACCCCATGGTCGACCCGATGCACTCCAGTCCCTTTCGACACAGAGAGACCTGCTCTGCTGTGGAGAAGGGCGAGTTGGCCACCAGCCACATTGGCCATAGTAATGTCGAGCTATTACCCAGTTTGCTATGCGGGTGGAGTTGGAACGCGCCTGTGGCTTCGTTGATTTGGCCGAGGATTGTAGTTACGGTCAAACAGATCAGATCCGTCAGGTCCTCAATTCGATCTTCGAAGTCGATTTCGTAGAGCGATGTGGGACTATGTGGGCCTTCATCGGATGAGTCGTCGTCGCTACCGTACGGGTCGTGTCGGGGAGGGTGTGGTGAGGCTTCAGGCATTGTTGTGTCTTCCAGATCGTCGAGCGCGTCGCAGCATGCTATTACTTGGAGGTAGAAGACGATTTGGGTGGCTTGTACGACGGCGAGGAAGCAGGTCGTCCAGGGGTCGCGAGGAGTTTGTGGCTTCTCGGGAGGACTGTTCTCGAGAGTAGTGTCGAGGTATTGGCGTTTCCAATGGCCGGGAATCCGTTCGTTCCAGGTGTCGATCTCGTCGAGGATGCAGCGGGCGCGCCACAGAATTGAGCGGAGTGATTTGGCGGGTTTCGAGCTGTGACCCAAGGTTTCTCGGGTTCGTTGGACAGAGTTACAGAACTCGGATATCTTTCCCGTGATGATTCCCGAACGGTAAATGAAGTCCGGCTCGTAGATCATATTGATAGACGAGGGTAGAGAGGCATACTGGTATTGGTTGTTGGCTATGGCTTGGATTTGCTGCTGGCCTGTTAACCTTGTGATTTTGGTCGGGCTGGGTGAGTTGACCTACGGTCTGAGTGAAAGCCCAGCCAAAGAGGACTCGGCCATATTTGCTACTCCGAGGTGGCCTCCCTCGCAGCTGCATGAGGGAGTAGATTCCTGGGATGTGAGGGTTTGCGACGTCGCTGTGATCACCGCTTATGTCCTGTATTAGGTTAGCGAAGTCTTTCTCGTGGGAGGACTGACCTGGTTCACTTACAAGAAACATACTCAAGAAAAGTGCCGCTGCGAATACTTCATCCTTCAAATAAGCCCTTTCAATGCTGAGTGCAGTGCTCAGTGAGTTTAAAGCCAGTCCATAGTGCCGTCGAGCATTGGCATGCAGCTCTCCACGTCTGGAGACATTGTGCAAGGAAAGATAGGACACGCTAAGCACGGCATGCTTCAAGCAAGGGTCATCACCTTTCTCACGGAATAAGTCCGGAAGAAATGCAAGGTGACCCTCACAAGGAGACCTTTGGGCGTGAAGGACATACTGATCATAGAAGTACCCGAGGGACTGGGACTCCCAGCAAGGAGCAAGGGTGGGTACCAAAGGACCCAACCCTTCGGAGATTAGGTTGGTGGAGCATACTGATAGCTCCGAACCCTCAGGGTCTAAGTCCCCGGAATCAGCAGGAACCTTCGCATCATCTGTCGAGGTCTTGTGTGTTGAGCCGGGCTTATAGGTTCGAAATGCGAAGGCATCGGGATAGCCTGTGCATTGCCTGTTATGTGTCACGCAACGACGGCAAACCGGTCTCTCCCCATCGCACTACAGAAGAGAATTATTAAGACCACACAGACATCCAACTTTTAAAAGTGACCAACATACCTTGACCTTTCGCTTACGGCATACATAGCAGCCGGTACTCAGTCTCCCAGGAAACACCATGGACGCATGTGCCAGGACAGGCAGTGCGTGGAAGTATAGGACGTTAGGCAAATGTGAATAGATCCGACAAGGTCGGAGGTTCACAGGTGAGAATGATTGCGATTGCAGTAATTGTCAATTCGGTCAGGAAACAGGTGATGGTGAGGTTGAGATGGAAAACTCGGGGGCGAGCCAGGCCCGACGGCGGCCATTACCAAGAGGGGTCACAGTCGGCAGACAGTTTCGGGTCCACAGCAAACGCCTGCTACTCCACCCGGTATCGGCTTTCTCCACCGAAACTGGTAGGGGGTCTCGCAAGCTACCCCCGAAATCGGACTAGGGTCTTGGCGCGCTCGTCCGCCGTTCATGGAATGGGCCATCCAGGATATGCGCATCCATCAGATATCGGGAAACATGTTGGAGGCGAGCATTGAGATTCCACGTAATCAGAAGGCCAAGAAGTTAATGCTTTAATCCTCATCATGTGGCGAGGGGAGGAAATAGTGCACTTGTTGTTTAGTAGAATTTATACATCAAATTCTGGTGTCGAAAATATAAACAAACACTACACCATGCCAGAACATGTAGAGGGCAGAAAGACATTCTTGCTTAGCGAAGTGATTCATGTATCAAGACGTGACGAAAATGGTTCATCGAAGAATTAAGCCGAGGGAATTGCTTGCTTCATGTTTACTTCATTGGAGTGTCAGGTGACCTTCCATCTTGACATGCTGACCGATGAGGCAAGAGCATAGCAAACCCGACCGGACCTCGTCACCGCATCAAAGTCTGTGTGATATGCGCCACGTCAACAAGACCAAAGAAGCCTACACAGAATGCTGCTGAATAAGTACAGCTCCTCTTGATCTACAATTTGAAGCGTTCAGAAATCTTACTCAGAACCCCAGGAATTCCCCGGCACCTGCGAGAGCGGCAACTGCGAATTCATGAATACCGGCTCCCTGAATGGCGACCGGCTCTAAACCCCATGACCAGGGAACGATGACATTTGATTTCCAGATGGCCTCATGCACTCATGATGAAGAATCCTTCTAGAACAGGGCGCGGACTCACTGACTTGATGTCACCCCGTCAGCTCACAGCCACGAAACTTGTCCGATTTGGTGAAATGGTCTGCCGATTCATGCCTCTGAATCTACGATTTTCCAGAAAACAGCCGATCTGGGGGATGAGGACCTTTCATATGCACTCCGGATACTTTCATGATCTTGAAACTGGCCCTTGACTTTGCGTCATGCCGAGAGTATTGTTAAAAATTCCGACCAAACAATAGGCGCTGCAATGACCTGGACGGTCCACGGTCCACGGTCGCACTCCGGGCTTCCGCATTAGGAATTCCGGCAAATGTTCCAGTTCAATTCAAGGTTCCAAGTCCGAGATCGCTGATTGGATCTACAACTTCTTGCGCCTTATCAGCAACCGAAGCCGGGTCAATCTTCACAGACTCATTTTTTCATGACTTGATGTGGTTCGTGCACCTTTTAACGCAACATGCAGACAGAGTTAGCAAGTTGTATCAATCACATGCGCTATGTCCTACAAAGAGGCCATATCTCGTCGGCGCCGCCCGTAAGCTCGTGGGAAACAGCCAGAGATCTTACTAAGCTCGAGGCAAGAACTGGGACAGCTCAACCGTTCTTGATTGACTATCCAAGATGCGGGACCGGGGAGATCGATGGATCGGAAAGCGGGCGGCGTGCATCCATTCTCCACTGCTGTTGGTACAGGGTCCGTTTTTGACCCCCGGGTTTTATGACGTCGCACCTCCGCTGGCGAATCCATCTCACATCTACTTCCACTTTAGGTCATCAGCATGAGTGGAATGAAAAAAACTGCTTATAAGACCACATCGGTTCCTCTTCGTGATACAACACCTCGACTTCGTTCCATCATGATACCGTTCGTCTTCATTTAGTCTGATAAATGGGGCACCCAATGTCATCTATACACTACACGTAGTCTACTGAGGCCTACCATCTACCCTTACAATTCAGTCGAAGAAGCCTGGTCGACTCTGAAGAATATTCTACACTGACTGTGCACCGTTGCCATGACCTCGAGGAACCAGTCGCCGCGCTCCCCCCAATTTGACTCTGAGAAGTCGGAAAAGAAGGATTCTGGTCTTGGAGACTGCGACTTGAGCCCTGCCCGAAGGCCCACTAACATTCATGATGAGCATGCAGCATCTTCGGATACCGATACTGAAGTGCGAGGCAAATTCCGTGGCGATGGGAGGCGCGAATTGACTGAAGAGGATGCATACGAGAAACTTGGCTTCTGCTTCCCATGGTACAAGAAATGGGGGATTTTGACAATTATCTTCGTTGTTCAAATGTCCATGAACTTCAACAGCAGTACATATTCCAATGCCGTGGTGCAGTTGTCGGAACATTTCCATATCAGCCAGCAAGCGGCTCGAGTCGGTCAGATGATCTTCCTGGTAACCTACGCCTTTGGCTGCGAGCTATGGGCGCCATGGAGCGAGGAATTCGGTCGATGGCCTATTATGCAACTGAGCCTTCTTCTCGTGAATGTCTGGCAAATCCCCTGTGCCTTGGCACCTAACTTTGGAACCATGGTGGTTGGTCGCGGCCTTGGTGGGATTAGCTCCGCAGGAGGCTCGGTCACCCTGGGTATGACCGCTGACATGTGGGAGCCAGATGACCAGGGCTTTGCTGTCGCATATGTGGTCTTGAGCTCTGTCGGTGGGACGACTATTGGGCCTATATTCGGAGGAATGATGGAGCAGTGGTTGAACTGGCGATGGAATTTCTGGATCCAGCTTATTTTCGGTGGAGTCACCCAAATACTCCATTTCTTTTTCGTCACCGAAACAAGATCTACCATCTTGCTGGATCGAGAGGCGAAGCGTCGGCGCAAATCTGGTGAGGATCCAAATGTCTATGGCCCGAGTGAGCTCAAGCCTTCCCGGTTTAATGTGAAAGAAATCCTTCGCATTTGGCGTCGCCCATTCGAGATGTTCCTGCGCGAGCCTATTGTGCTTTTTCTATCTCTTCTTTCTGGCTTCTCCGATGCGCTAATCTTTACCTGCATTGAATCGTTCTCCTTGGTCTTCAAACAATGGGGCTTTAATTCACTGCATGTTGGATTGTGCTTTGTCGCTATTTTTGTTGGCTATCTGGTTGCATATGCCATTTTCCTGCCCGATATCTACCGCCAGCGCTTGATCCGACGACGAGAGGGTGATGCGGCCCGGGTGGCTGAGCGCCGGCTCTTACTTTTGCTTTTCATCGCACCCCTGGAGACGATCGGACTCTTTGGCTTTGCCTGGACGTCCATGGGCCCGGAGTATACCCACTGGATGGTGCCTCTGGTCTTCGTATTCCTGATTGCCATCGCAAACTATGGTATCTACATGGCTACGATAGACTACATGGTGGCGGCTTATGGCGAGTATTCCGCGTCCGCTACGGGCGGGAATGGGTTCGCACGAGATCTTCTCGCCGGGCTATCCGCGATGTACGCAACCCCGATGTATACCAACATTGGCGGACGCTTTCATCTTCAATGGGCTAGCACTATTCTTGGCTGCTTGGCTGTCTTGGTGACCATTCCGATTTACATCTTTTACTGGAAAGGCTCTGAGATACGTGCGAGGAGCAAGTTCGCACAGACCCTTGCCGCGGACAGGCAAAGAAACACCACTAGACGTCGGAGCAGCCAATTCAGTGCGTCGAGGAAAGCTTCTATGGTGTAGAAGCATGTTGAAATCTTCGATTCGAATATACTCTTTCCAACTTGTTTATAATATCTTGACGTAAATCTTAATCAATCCCATTTATAGAACTTCGTTCTCGACTTGGAATCACACAAGGTACTACAATATAGAAATCTCACTTGAGCATCGTTAGCTGGAGGTTGTCTAGCTGCTGCAGTGTGATTGTTTTTTTTAGCTCACTCGTTGGTTGGGAGAATTGATAGGTCTGCGGGCGGTGTGGCCTGAGGCATGGAGAGCCTGACTGAGACTAAACACCAAACCCCTGTTCAAATGTCTTACTTGTGCATTCCCCGCTCTTTCTTCACTTCTCAACTTTCGTCTTCTATTTTAGCTCATTCTTAGCGCTGCCTTCTCTTGCTGTAACTCAATGGTCCATCATCTGTTTTTTTTTCTACATGCAACATACAACTATTTGGGACATACTCGTCGCTGCGGCGCCCCACCACCTCCTAAGCCCTCCACCGCAGGTGGTGGGGCGCCGCAGCGACGATTACTCATGGAAAAGGCGAGCGAGTCTTTGATTACATCCCATAGCATGATGTACCGGAATGCAACGCTGCACGCTGCACTTGGTCGATACTACCTACTTGTGATCTGCTTGAGAGACATGCAGTAGCTTAGATGCATGCCCCCCGCCCCCGCACTGACCTTGTATCTGATGGCATGACAAGCGGAGAGCAATGATCTCTTCGTCAGGTACATCGCTTCCTTTGGCGTGACTTCCCCTCGCTATAGGCCTGCCGTGGACTAAGCTTTTCCTTTCACAGAGAACGAAGTTTGAACGCATATTGCGACATGTGAACTAAATAACAAGGGCTTGAAAAGATACTTGGGGCGTGCTTATGACGACGACTGATTGCTTTGACTGTCTCACCTCATCCCCGGGAGGAAGACCTGCATGTCAGACAATATGAGCTCATATGCCGATCATCCGCGGAACAAGAGTCACACAAGGCTCTGGGCTTAGGCAGTCATCCTGACGAACGGCACGTGTGACTTATTCTTGATCCTCTGCCTTGATGTCACGTCCATGCACCTTGCCGAGTCTCGAATTATCCCAGAGCTTATCGAGCAGTTGATAGTAATGAAGTGTTCTAACCCATGGTTCGCAAACTCATGCTGACTATCTCGAAAAGCTTTCCGCCGCAATACTTATGTAACGGGTGAATCGGGCGCCTGATGCAGGAACCAGAAAAGAACAATCCCATACGAAAATTGGATCTATTCAATCACAATTAGACCCTTGTGAGACACAATACGAGCGATCCGCGGAATCCGACCAACGGGACGCCTGGAAGTATAGGCGTGTCACTCTAACTGCAAGCATCCATGTACTGTCTTGCAGGATGTCAGCTTCGCTTGGGAAGCGGTGGCCGAGACCCGACATCATCGCCATTCGCAGTCCTGCAACAGCCCGACTGCCTTCCGAGTGTGCCATAGGAAATCTATCCTGGTCAACGAGAAGGTACACCTACCGGCAGGGGTTCAGTCAGGCAGCCAATGAAGACAGAAGCTACCTCGAGCATCCTTTAGCTATTGGACACCACATCCTTCAGTTCATCAGATGAGCCCCGGAATATGAGACCTGCATCAATTGCGGCTGTTGTATGTGGGGAGACGCTCATCGTCCACGGTCCAGGTTTCTGCGCCAACTGCAAGAATCCCTTCTTCTGTTGATGCCAGAGGGACCTTGTGACCTGCGGTTGAGTTCACCAGGAATCAGTGCTTCAGCATATAAAAGGAAGCGTATTCTGCCTTCAACAGGTGGATAGGAACAAGCACCAAGCCCGACAGATCAAGCATCTGAGCCACAACCTTTCAATCATCAGCCATGCATCTCTCCTACCTTTCTTTTCTCACCTTAGCTGCCCCCTTGGTAGCAGCCATTGCTCCTCCTGCTGCATCTCCGGCACCGACCACGCTCATCACCGCCTCCAAAGTCAACAGCGCCGCCGCCGCCGCAGCCCCCAGCCCTACTCAGCCAGGCATCGCCGCAAATTGCAACGCGTACCATCTGGTGGCGAGTGGTGAGACCTGCGCCAGTATCGCGACGACAGCCGGCATCTCCCTGACCGACTTTTACTCGTGGAACTCCGGCGTCGGCAGCGGGTGTACCGCCCTGTGGCTGGGGTACTATGTCTGCGTTGGAGTGGGATCAACGGCAATCACCACCACCACCACCACAAGTACCACCACGACCGCTCCGGTGTCGACTCCTACCCCCATCCAGACGGGCATGGTGACCAACTGCAATACCTTCTACCTGGTGGCGTCGGGCGATACGTGCACCACTGTTGCGACAAAGGAGGGGATCACTGTGCAGAACATTGTGACCTGGAATCCGGCCGTGGGAACGGGATGCACTAATATGTGGTATGGATACTATATCTGTGTTGGGGTCTCAGGATGAGCTGAGCACGAGAGAATGTCCTGGTGGCTGTGAAGCGAGAGTTCTGGATGGGAGTTGAAATACTTTAACTATGATGGGGCTGTTGCATGATGAGTATGTCTGATGTTGCACAAGGAATTGATGGACGTCATTATTCCATGATCGAGGTCGGCCGAATAGGGTAATATGATTTTAATTCATGCTGTTTAGCAGACTCTGGAGTACTATACAACCCTAGGCATGATTCCGTATAAGGCCTTTGAGCGCCCTCAGTCTTATCAGCGGAGTTAATACCATGTCTATCTCTACTAACTTACCATGTCGGACCTAAAGGGAGCGCCAGTATCGGCCCGACGGGAGCAGCAGGACGGATAGTGGCGGAAGGAGTCAGCGTCCACTGCAGTAGGCAATAGGCAGTTTCTGGTTTCTGGCTGGTTTCTGGGTGGTTTCTGAGGCAGGTGTCGATCTCGGCCCCGGTTCCGCTTCCGTTGAGAGCGGGGTCGCGGTGTTTCATTCCGAATTCCCGCCCCAGCCAATTCCCGCTCGTGCATTTGTTCATTTCAACCAGGGTGAAAGTGCGGGGGAGTCACCTTACTAACTACCCCAGCCGGCTTTCTATTTGCTGCAGCAATGGATAGTTAACGAATGCAGTTGGCCCGAGTCCTCTTTGTTGGCCGGGTGGCCCATGACGCAAATCCACTACGATTTTCAAGGTCTAGCTGCAGGAGGACCGCTGCATACCCAGCCATGATAAGCCGAGGAGAACCGCGGATGTGAGGTGTATAAAGCTCCAGATTTTTTTCAGACACCACCGTCAAGAAAAAAAGTCCAGTCCACTCCCAATTTTATCGCTCACATCATGTCCTTCCAAACCCTCGCACTCGCCGCCGTCGCGGTGGTATATTTTCTGATCCGCTATCTCAATCGCACCGACGTTCCCAAGATCAAGGGGATACCTGAAATCCCTGGGGTGCCTATATTTGGGAACCTGTTGCAATTAGGCGACCAGCATGCTACTGTGACGAAGAAGTGGGCGAAGAAATATGGCCCCGTCTTCCAGGTCCGGATGGGCAATCGGGTATGTGACCCGCAGCGAACAAAAGGCTGACAAGAGAGTCGAAATGTACTAGGTAACTGACAGAGCATACTTGTTCCTTCCAGCGCATTGTCTTTGCCAACAGCTTCGAGTCCGTCCGCCAACTGTGGATCAAAGACCAGTCGGCCCTGATCTCGCGTCCCACCTTCCACACCTTCCACAGCGTCGTGTCCAGCTCCCAGGGCTTCACGATCGGCACCTCGCCCTGGGACGAGTCCTGCAAGCGCCGACGCAAGGCGGCCGCCACCGCGCTGAACCGCCCAGCCGTGCAGTCGTACATGCCAATCATCGACCTCGAGGCCACCGCCAGCATCCGCGAGCTGTTCCAGGACAGCGACAGCGGCACCAAGGACATCAACCCGGTCGCGTATTTCCAGCGGTTCGCGCTCAACACCAGTCTGACGCTGAACTACGGCTTCCGTATCAGCGGCAACGTCGACGACGAGCTGCTGCACGAGATCTGCGACGTCGAGCGCGGCGTCTCCAACTTTCGGAGTACCAGCAACAATTGGCAGGACTACATCCCCCTCATGCGTCTGTTCCCCAAGGCGAACACCGAGGCCGAGTCGTTCCGCGTGCGCCGCGATAAGTATTTGACATATCTGTTGGATATTCTCAAGGACCAGATTGCCAAGGGCACGGATAAGCCGTGCATCACGGGGAACATTCTCAAGGATCCCGAGGCGAAGTTGAATGAGGGTGAGTCATGATCGATGGACTTTCGAAAGACAAATCATGTCGAACGAAAATACTGACTGTCACCAGCGGAGGTCAAGTCCATCTGTCTCACTATGGTCTCCGCCGGATTGGACACGGTTCCCGGTAACGTCATCATGGGCATCGCCTATCTCGCCTCGGAAGACGGCCAGCGCGTTCAGCAGAAGGCCTACGAGGAGATCATGAAGGTGTACCCGGACGGTGACGCCTGGGAGAAGTGCCTTGTGGAAGAGAAGGTCCCCTACGTGACCGCCCTGGTGAAAGAGACCCTCCGGTTCTGGACCGTGATCCCCATCTGTCTGCCGCGCGAAAGCACCAAGGATATTGTCTACAACGGCGCGACCATCCCCGCTGGAACCACCTTCTTCATGGTATGTTGGTATCCGACCTTGTTTCCGGTTCGAGATAAAAAATTCTTACCTAAACCCATCTCCAGAACGCATACGCCGCAGACTACGACGAAGAGCACTTCGACAAGCCCGAGCAATTCCTGCCGGAGCGGTATTTGGAGGTGGGCGAGGGCACGGGCACTCCCCACTACGGCTACGGGGCTGGCTCGCGCATGTGCGCCGGCTCGCATCTGGCCAACCGCGAGCTGTACACCGCCTACATTCGCTTGATCACCGCCTTCACCATGCACCCGGCCAAGAACCCCGACGACCGCCCGATCATGGATGCCATTCACTGCAATGCCATCCCCACGGCGTTGACAACGGAACCCAAGCCGTTCAAGGTGGGATTCCGACCGAGGAATCCGGAGAAGTTGAAGCAGTGGATCCGGGAGAGTGGTGAGCGCACTAAGCATTTGTGAAGCATTTGTGAATGTAAAGTATTTTTGAATTCTGAGTTGTATAGATGGGAAATCAATATATGCATGTGTACCTAGTTTGCAGGTAGCAATTCCTCAAAATTTACACGTAGATGATGAGTGCATGAATACTTTCCAAGTTGCCAATTGGGTAGGTATCCACCAAGCAGCGCAACAGATTATTATTATAGTTATCTCCGACTTATCAATTAATGATTGAATTATGCATAGACTAGAGTGCGGTGCATGAGGTGCAGGTGGTCGAGATAAGCACCACTGGCGCCAGTTCGGCCGAGATACGGTTACGTTACTAGTGTAGCCTCGGGTGCGGAATCCCCCGCACGGGGTCTTCCGTCCTTTCTGACCGCCACCGCGTTTGTCTTCCAAGTTTCCCCGCGCTGCGCCCGGTCGGAGCACTACCTACAGTAGCATCGTCTGTTTACCGTGCCGTCCGGTCTACTCTCCTCCGTCTTCTCCGCACTCGACTTCCTTCTCGCGCGCAGTCACTTCCACACCCCCATCATGGACGCTACTGCCTCTCTAACAACATGGGACTTCTCGCCCCCAGCAGCACACCGGGATGACTCTGACGGGGCCAACCCACGCAAGCGACGGCGAAAGTACATCGCCAAGGCTTGGTAGGTGCATTTCCCTTCCTTCCCCCCCTACCTTCGTTCCCTGAGGTACACTCGGGTCAAGGATCAAGACTAACATACAAACAAGCAACGAATGCAAACGCCGTAAGATCAAATGCAATGGCGAGACGCCTTGTCAGCGATGCGGCCGCCAACGCATCGACTGTATCTACGACAAGCCCCCTCGTCACACCGATGGCGAGTCGGATCAGCAGTACGTTTTCGCGCCTACACACCCACACCCACACGCCCTACACGTGTTGGTGGAAGTCCCACTCATGCTAATACATGCCCAGGGTCTACCTCGAGCAACTCTGTAAACAGATGTCTGCTATGCAGGAACAAATCGAGACCCTCTCCGCAGCTGTCACGACCTTGACGCAGCACAGCGTCACTGCCACCGCGATCGCGGCGCGGTCGGACGCCGCGGCGGCGGGCAGCCAGCGACCATTCCGTCGCCGCCGGTCCACGATCAGGGAGACCGCGTTCCAAGGCCCAACGACATCCGCCTTTAGCTTGCATTTGGCCAAGTCGAATCTCCTCCGCCAGGGGATCGTCGAGCAGACGGACGGGGCGGAGGATGCCGATGCCGATGCCGATGCTAACCATCCGCCTTCGCCGCTGCCGCCGGATTCGCCTGGGCCGGCGACGTTGCTGGATGCGGCGCGGCCCGAGGGGGATCCGCTGTGGTCGTTGGACAAGGCGGAGGCGATGCGGCTATGTCGCGTGTATGAGGAGGAGATGGGCATGATGTATCCCGTCTTGGATTTGCAGGACTTGCTGGATCAGGTCGAGGTCGTGTATGGGTCGTCGTCGGCGGCGGCGGCGGTGGCGGCGCGTCCCGAGGGGTCTCGGGCGGTACCACACACCGATGACGTCCAGATCCTGCGGTTGGTCTTTGCGTGTGCGTTGACGGCTGAGGCGGCGGGGAGCAGCGAGCTGGCGATGCGGCTGTTTGAGAGTGTGCGCGAGGTGGCTGATAATTGCGTGTGGGGACCGTCGGAGATTAAGAGTATCATCTTGTTGACTCTGGTTGTGAGTGAATTCTCAGTTTGGGGGCGGTGTATGGATGGCTGACAAGCGCTCTAGGCGATCTTCTATTTCCAGATCGACGAGGAAATTCTGGCTTGGCGCATCGCTGGCATCGTGGAGCGCATGTGCCTGGAAAAGGGGCTGCACCGACGGGAAACACTTGGCCAGCCGGCCATTGTCGCCGCGGGGCGGGATCGTGTTCTCCGGCTGTTCTGGTCGATTTATATTCTCGACATCCGGTGGAGCTTTGGGACGGGCATGCCGTTCTCTCTCGAGGATAGCGACATCGATCCCTGGCTACCGGAGCCGGAGGAGAAGACTCCCTATCTCCGGGTCATGATCCGGTACAGTCGCATTGCGGCCAAGGTGTGGAAGTTCATCTCGGCCTTCAACAATACGAACGAGATCAAGAAGGACGAGATGAATTATCTGGACTGGCAGGTCCAGCAGTGGGTAATGAACATCCCGGAGATCCTGCGTCTGGAGCAGCCGCCGTTGTCGGCCTCGAAGACCGAGCCTAAACCACCGCGCAGTCTGCATCGCCTGCGTGCGTTGCTTTACCTTCGCTCCAACCAGCTCCGCATGCTCATCCATCGGCCCGTGCTTCACTCTGCCGCGCATATCGTGCGGTACCCGGCTGAGTCGCAGATGGTCGTCGACCTGGCCAGGGAGACAATCCGGTTCATCACGCGACTCAACGAGACGACAGACATCTACCGTCTTCAGCAGGTGACCTTTAACTGGTTTCTCGTTTCGGCAGTCGCGGTGCTGTTTCTGGCTGTCGCGCAAGCCCCGTCACAGTTCGGCAGCGTCTGTCGTGAGGATTTCTATCTGGCGCTAGAACTAATCAAAGGCTTCTCGACGAAGTCTTATATCTCACTACGACTATGGAAATCGATTCGGAGTTTGAGGAAGTTGGGCCCGCAGGTTATGCGTCGGCAGCCGGAGGCAGTGGAAGCTGGGCCTGAAGGTGCGGATGTGCTTAACTCTGCAAAGGAGCAGGAGATAGAACAAGCGAGTGGCGCGGTTGAGCCTTCGATGCAGTCAACGGGCAGTATACACAGTCTCACGCCCGTGGATGGGGTGCAGATGACGAGGGAGTTGATGGAGTGGTTCGAGGCGGTTGGGAGTTTGGAAACACAGATCATGGGGATGGGAGCCCTGCCGCCGCATCAGGAGACCGACGTATGGGGAAGGAGTGGACAATATATGGTTGACTACGGGGGCGAGCTGTCGAGCGTGATGAAGGATTGCTTCTGAGAATCGCCTCTGTGATTCTCCACGACTGATACTATGTACACAATATGAGATTTGCGGCATACTTGTTACTCATCTTTCCAGAACACCCTTCCCTCAAACAACCTCCGCGCGGTCGAAAACACGCGACCAGATTGCAGACTGCCATCCTCGGCGAACTCAGCCCCCACCAACATGTTTCCACTGGCATGTCCGATTGTGATCCCGGCAGCATCGACCGTCTGTCCCCGTTTCACAACCTGCGATACGGTGCTCCCTTCCACCCTCGCCGCGGTTGCCAGGGCCAAGGCCACCGTGATGGGCAGTGCCTTGTGGGGCTGGCCTACGGAGAGCGCCCTGGCCACCAGATCGACCTTCTGCGGCGTCTGACCCTTGGCGACCGAGCGCGCATCCTCCCCGGGGGCCGCCACCAGAGCGATCTTGGGAATGCTCCCGGGCACCTTTTCGGGCGACGCTGCGATGCCCATCTTCACGCCGGCCAACCTCCGGATGCGATCCAACTTGTCCAACAACCCCACGTCGGCCGTCAACTCCTCCGGCGTCAGGTTACTCTGGACCCCCAGCTTCGCCGCGGAGACAAATACACACGGATTGGCGACATCGATACACGTCGCCTCCACCTCCCCCTTGACCTCAAACACATCCACCGCATTCCCCGTCGGGAGCAACTTGCCCGTGACCGACCCGGCGGGATCCACGAAATCGAGCTGCACCCGCGCCGCCGTGCCCGCCACCCCATCGATGGCGAAGTCCCCGCTCGTCGCCGCCTCATACTCCGGCCCTTCCCCGTTTTCCGACCCCGATGCACTCTCCACCACCGGGAACGTGGAATGAATAATCTTCCCCGTATTGGTGTTATGGATCTTAACGGTGGCCTGATCCCCCTTCACCCGCGGCGCCCGCACCAACCCCGCATCCACGGCGAACGGCCCCACCGCCGCACTCATATTCCCGCAATTACTCGTCAGATCGACCTTGTCGTCGACCACCCCGACCGACACGAACGTGTAATCCACGTCCGCGGCCGGGTGGGTTGAATCGCCTTGGATGATGCAGATCTTGGAGAGGCTGCTGATGCCCCCGCCCATCCCGTCGAGTTGGCGCCGGTGCGCGGCGTCGGGACTGCCCAGCACGGCGCGGTAGATGGCGGGGTGGGTGGAGGCGTCGGCGGGCAGGTCGGTCGCGTTGAAGAAGACGGCCCGGCTGGTGCCGCCGCGGTAGTAGGATGCTGGGAGGGAGCGTTGGGGGTTCGTTTTGGTTTTGGGGGTGGCGAGGGGGGGGGTTGTGGTGAGAAGTCGTCTTTTGTTGGGTTTCGGGAGGGGGGGTTTGGGGAGGTGGCGGAGGGTGGATTTTAGCATTTTTTCTGGTGTGTCTACTGTATGTAGACTTTGAGATTTGGTGGGTTGTGGTTGTGGTTGTGGTTGTGGTTGTGGTTCTGATTATTGGTGTTGGGATTGGGTTGTGATGTTAACTTAGGGTGTGATTAATTGAATCCGGGGGAAGGATGGGTTTTGTACCTAGTAGTTAGTTACAGAATGTTCTAAGTTGTGCCTAAGTATGGTATGGGGATGTGGGGCTTGTCGGATGCTTCCGATATTGCATTTGCTTGGCTCCGCTGCTTGGTGGTCGGTGGTCGGATGGGTCCGAGGGTTGATCGAGGGCATTGCATTGAGATCGATCTCAAACACTGGCTATTCCCAACCATGCTTGATCAACAACATACTGTAATCTGCTCCAAACGAGTGGTTCTATCAAGATTGACATTTTCGATAGCAGACAAATGAATACCTACCCTCCCGCACCAATTATCTCAATCCAGCAATAGAACACAATCCCATGAAATCATATATCCCACACACTGTTGTACCTATATCCAGCCCCCAAACCCCGACTAAGACCAATCTATTTACCCGGAACCCCTCTCAACCACAAAGTCCACCCCACCAGTCCCGCTGCCACCGCCATCCCCGCCGCCCCAAACACCCACATCCCCTGATACTCGACTTGCACCGGCACCCCCGTGCCGGATTGTCTGGCCGCCCCCGCGATCGGATTCCCAACCAACGCCCCCACCGCCGCAACCGTATACGCCACCCCGATCCGCGCGCCCACCTCCGACACCTCCCCCGGCAGGTTGGCGATGATCGCCGGCGGTAAGGACACGATACTCCCCGACACCAGGCCGTAGATCGCGACGATGACCACCAGCGCCGGCAGGGTGGTGGCGAAGCGCCAGAAGAAGAGGATGATGGCGGTAGCTAGGCAGCCGGGCAGGGCGAGGGGGAGGCCGCCCCATCTTTTTTGGGTGGGTTAGTTCGGGTTGATGGGTTACGTTTGGGGTAAGGGGGGGGGGTTTAAGGAAGGGTAAGGACCGGGCTACTTACCGATCAGCTAACCAGTTCGAGCCGATGCGGCCAATCAAGCTGGTTGCGTTCATGATGCTGAGCAGGTAGAAGGATGTGTCTTGATCGATGGAGAGGTCGAGGGCGTAGTCTTCCACGTAGAAGAAGGGGATATAGACTGCGGCCATCATTGCTGTGAATGCTGTTGCCTTTGGTTAGAATCATGGAGTGAAGGGGACAGTCTCCAGCGGAGTGATCCAAAATTTGTAGGGGGCTTGGGGGAATACCGGCGGTGAAAGATACAAGGCACGAATCGGAGGTGAATTTCCTCCACTGTAGGGGCGCGCGCTTGGCATGGCCGGGACGGAGGCGCATCACCGCGGCGCAGGTGATGGAGCCGGCGAGCATGACCAAGGCGAGCACGCGCACGGCCCAGGGAAACCCGATGCGGACGATCAGTCGGCGGAGCATGATCGAGTAGATGATTCCCGCTGCATGGGGCTCGGCCTCAGCCTCAGCCTCAGCCTCAGGTGGTGAACTTCACAGAGAGTGAGCGTTAACACGTACCTAAACTACTCCCCGTCGCCGCAAACCCCGTCGCCAGCATGCGCTTCGCCGAGAAGTACAGCGGCAGCACTGCCACCGAGGGCACGACCAGCAGCCCGCTCCCGATCCCCACGCAGATCCCCTGCGCCAGAAACACCTGCCAGTACGCGGTGCACAGCGAGACCATCAGCATCCCCGCCACCTGCAGGACGCTGCCCGCGACCACCAGCAGTCGCAGATGGCCCCGGTCCATGATCGAGCCGACGGGCAGCCCGATCGCCATCATGAGGAAGAGTTGCACCGAGCCGATCCAGGCGATCGCCGACGGGGTGTAGTCGGCCAGGAGAGCGGTGGTGTAGTGGGTTTCGAAGACGCCGTAGGAACTGGTGAGACCCCTGGTTTTGGGTAGATTACTTGCTGGTAAGTTTGGCACGGAAACAATGTGGAGACGAGGTGACGGACCAGGTGTTTGCGAAGATCAGCCAGCTGCCCAGCACTTGGAGCCATGCGGTCAGGCCGCCGTCCATGCGGTGCTTGGGTTCGGGGGTTGGCTCGTGGTCCATGGTTTCTGTCTGCCCTTTTGCGAGATTGTCTTGGACTTCTGTAGGATTCGGTCGAGGGGGAGTCATTTGGGATGTCATATATCGATGTTTGATCCCACAATTCCGAGAGGGGGCATTTTGAATCCGATGCCGTGCCCGATGCCGGCGGCAGGGTGAGGTGGATCATTGCGCATACTTATGCGGACAAGACCCTGACTGCTCTCGGTGGACCTTCCCGCTTTTGTCGACGATCAACATGTCATTAAGCAGATAGTGTATTTCGGGCATGCTGCTAGAAGCCGATCATCCAAAGTGGGGAAGGGAGAAAGCAGCCACTCAACATCCTCGGGTCGGCCAATGCCGATGACCCTTGCATGATCGGGATCGGCGGCGGCGATGCTTGACGCACTGCTTTTCTCCATGCTATAACCCCGGTGGGAATGGATCATCAAATGTGGTAAATAGTCTCGGGCGGCCTTGCGGCGTCACCGTGCAGCCAGCTTGGGAGTCGTCTCGCAGTGCCCCTGCGCTAGTGTGGCAGTAGTTTGTGTGGTACCAGATGCTAGATGCATCCGAAAGTCTGATAGAAGACAAATACCTCGGTTTGACCGTCTATAGTCTACAGCGTACTCCGGTGTCTTCAATGCGTGCGATGCAATCGATCCATTCAAATTCACGGATCTCTATTTACCGTGACAGCTCTCGGAGTCTGCATGAGTAATGGCCGGTATCAGAGACTTGGCTCCACTTTCTCTCTCCCTGATTGAATCTCTTGAAGTAATCAACATTGATGATGGCCTGTTGCAGGAGCCCAACCCGGTAACTGCAGCTGGGGATGGGATGTGAGCCTGAAATACAAGGTGTCTATCGCAAATACTCGGTCCTCGGACCTTCATTCTTCCGTGGCTCTCCTGGTCTGCATCTCATTTCATCTCGTGCTGTATCCAATGCAGCTCCTGTGCGGAAACAACTTTTATTGGGAGCCGCCCTGCTGCAAATAATAAATGCAGGAGTACCATGATTCATCAAATAGCGGTTGCTTCCCATCAAGATCATGCGGCTCATCCTGAATCTTTTCTCAACCGTGATTGAGTCTCACAACCCCCCCCGATCAATTGCTGTCATGATGCTTCTTACTCATCGAGCTTGTGAGACATGCTCGTGCATTATCCTACGGTCATTGGCTGCCAGGATTGAACTGCTATACTGACAGCTGCCGCTTGCATGCTACCCAAAGCTTATTTGTGGGGCGCCGAATCAACAAAGTCATCTTTAGCGACCAGTTCCACTGGTCAAGAAAGAAGGCGTACGTATCCTTGTGGGGGCTCGAATGCTCTGGGCTTACTTCTCAGGACATGAAGCCGAGATGCGTTGCTAGTTATACGCCACTGAGCCTACTGAGCCACTGCAGAGTCCAGGCACTGAGTCTTCGGAACGGAGCCCTTATCAATCAAGATCCATGTCTCAGATAGCAAGTCTGGCTTCTGCAATGAACCAAGAGACAGTACGACTCTGATGACAAAACAGTGAAGCATATTATGGATGAATCGTCTGCAAAAGATACAGGAAGTGATGTTGCGTGTTCCAGTTTGATAGAACAGGTGGCTGATACCAACTGGGAGAGATGTCTATGCTAAAGAGACGTCAATTTTCACAGCTCGTTTCAGGATTGGTCTCCTCGTAACCTGACGGGGTATAAGGAGCATATGACTCCTGCGCAGCGCTTCAGCCTCCAACTGACACTATTCTTATACCTGACGGGTTGTATCGCGGCTGCGAAGACAGGTTACGCCCTCACCAATTGGAGGTCCCTGATGGTCCCTTAGTGTCGGGCCGCTTTGCCTGTTTGTCACGAACACGAACGCCTCCGTCGCTTAGGATTCCCAATTGATGGGGAGGCAGTGGGGCCGCCCCAAGGCTAGAAGCCGATAAACCCTCGCTGCGATACCCGTGGTTCCACGTGGTGGGGACCCTTTTGCCTCTTCTCTTTGGCTGCCCACGCCTCAATTCCCAATTTTTATCCCTTTTATCTTGTTCCTGATTTTGTTGTCTGATCGTCGTTTTTGTTTTTAAAAGCTTCGCTTCTCTCCTTGCTTCATGTCTTCCTCATACCCTCTTTGCCTTTGCAATTTGCTTTGCATGTAGCCATCGTCAAGCCATGTACTGCTGACCCCATCATGCAACTGTCGATCTTTCTTTAAGCCTCACCCTCGCTATATATAGACTTCTCATTCGTCGCGAACACAATGCGCTCACTTTCTTTATCCTCTTTTCTGCTTCTGCTTCCTTCCTTGCTTCCTTCCGCGGAGGCTGCGGACACATTTGACGTCACTCGCGATGATGACCTCCTCTCGTTTGTCACTGTACGTTTTCAACTTATCAATGCCCCCGGACCCCAGATTGACCGTCTCGCTCGCAGATGCCAAATGTTAAGGCAATCAAATACAACATAACCTATCACGATCGCAGTCGCGTAAGCCCCGGGTACTGGTTCGTCGCGCCGTACAGTCACCTGGACGCCGATCCATATAACAGCAAATTCAATCCCTGTCAAGTGGGACCTCACATCTACGATCAGGACGGCAAGCTGGTCTGGACCGGATCTTGTCTCCACAACAACCGCAATGTCTTCGACTTCAAGCCTACGAGCCACATCGCCGATGGTGCCACCCATCTTTCATTCATTCTCCAAAACAACTACATTAACGACGGCACGCCGTTGGCCAAAGGTGCCGCTTACATACTCAACGACAAATACTTGGTGGAGAACACCATCCCCATCACGAATGACCTAGAGCGGTGGGATCTACACGAGTTCAATGTGCTTCCGGGCGGGAAGACGGCGTTGGCGGCCTCGATCCGGATTCAGGACCAGTCCCTGGCGGAGTTGGGCCGGCCGGCGGAATCGAGCCGAGTGGCTTCGGGAGGGTTTGTGGAGATCGACCTAGCCACCAGCGCGGTGCTCTTCGACTGGGACTCTCGCGACAAGATCCCCCTCCACGAGTCGGACCATGTGATGCCGTGGTCGCCGCCCGAAGGAGGAGGAGGTCTGGACTACATCCATGTGAACGCGGCGGACAAGAACGTGTACGGCGACTACCTCCTGTCGGCTCGCTACACCAGCACCATCTATCTGATCTCCGGGCAAGACGGGCACATCATCTGGCGCCTGGGCGGGAAATACACCAACTTCGCCATGGATTTCACCTTCTCCAAGCAACACAACGCGCGATTCGTCTCCGCCAACGAGACGCACACCGTCTTGTCGTTCCTTAACAACGCCTCCGACGACTTCACCAACCAAGAGGACGTGTCCTCCGGCATGATCGTCGAGCTGGACACTGTTCGATTGACCGCGACGCTGCGGAGCCGCTACACCCGTCCGGACGGGAGCCTGAGTCGCATGCGTGGCAACCTCCAGCGGCTCGAAGGAGGCAACGTCTTCATGGGCTGGAGCGCGCAAGGCTACCACAGCGAGCACGCCCCGGACGGCACCGCGCTGATGGAAGCCAAGTTCCTCTCCCCGCGCTTCAACAGCTACCGGTCGTACAAGTTCCCGTTCGTCGGCCACCCCCAGCAGCCGCCCGCTCTGGCCGCGTCCGTCTACGCCAGCAAACCCAGCCAGGCGCATCCGTCCGCCGCAGGCGCAGCCGCGCCGAATCCCGAGCTGACCACCGTCGTCCACGTCAGCTGGAACGGCGCCACCGAGGTCGCCGTCTGGAACTTCTATTCGCAAGCGGACGAGACCTCCGTCCCTTATCTGATCGGCAACGTGACCAAGCACGACTTCGAGTCGGTCTTCGTGACCCCGGGCTACTGGGACTTCGTCTCTGCCGAAGCGCTCGATCGCAACGGGAACTCCCTTGGCTGGTCGCGGATCATCCGCTCCGATATCGAGGGAGCTCTGAAGTACGCATCCGAGGATGGAGAGCAGCTGCTCCTCGTCCCTGACGATCCCGCATCGCTGGTGGCTGTTGAACCTGCTGTCGAGGAGGAGATTGTGGTGGACCCGGCCATGCTGGTTGAGACCATTGTCGTGGACGAAGAAATGGCCCACGAAGAGTCCGAGCACGTCTCCGATGCAGACGAACTGTTGCGGGCCATCAACGATGTGGTCATCGGCATGATTCTGCTCGCTTGCTTCGGGACGATCCTGATTTTCTGGTGGACGCGGAGGTTCAAGTGGCGGCCACACCGGTATCTACGGCTGGCCTCTTCCCCGTTGCATAGCCCGGCGGTATGACGAGGGGGCCGTCAGGTGTACACTAATTCCCACTCTGTCATTCATAACTGTATATAATGGTATCTTGCTGTCGTTTCAGCGTGGAGTCGGTAGAGCATTGAGAGATTTTGCATCCGTCATTTTTCAATCACTGAGATAGAAAAAATCTTGACCTTTCTGGGGCCAACGCACTCGTCAATGTGCATTTACGGATTGGATGATCCGAGAGGGGCATGAGAATCTGTAGTGCAGCGCATCGTATGAGTCAGTGAATGGAAACGGAAGATTGGCCTGCCTATTCAACTGCGTACCATAAATTTCCAATGCGCCAAAAGTCATGCTAGTCTCCTCAATCCTCATCGCAATACTCAACGCCATGATGGTCTTCCTGCGCAGGACGTGTGTATATCGCAGCCGAGGAAGACCATGACATGAGAAGTCGACATTTCGCAAGGGAGGATCAGTGGGTGGGTGGTATCTGAATCAGAAGAAATTTACAGGATCCTGGGATAACCGTAGCCCCAGAGAAAAAAGAAAAATGTCCTGGCACTTGACTCCCCATTGTAATCCAACAATGGGTAGTTAGGTAATTAGATGATGATTGATGAGGCACTCGGAGAACAGAGGATTCGGGGCCTAGACTCGATACAGGTTAGGGCGTCGATAGGGGGCGCACGGGACGGCGGCCAGTGGGCGAGAGAAAACAACCAGGCCGGGCACGTGCGCTCTTTCTCCTCTTTGATTCTACCTCTCATCAACACACGAGACACGAGACACTTTTTTTTTTTGCCAAGTGCAGCCCACTTGGTGCTGCAGGACCGTGGATGCAAGTCACAGCTCTCTCCTCGCACGTGGTGCCACGCCCGCTGCCATGCCGGGTGTCGCAGGAGCCAAGTTGGGCCAAGTTGGGCCAAGTTGGGCCAAGTCTGGCCAAGGAGGCTTGTCTGCTCCCCTTCTTCTCTTGTCTCTGCTTCTTCGCTAAACCTACTGTGCTCGGGGCCATGACTCAGTCCGACCCGGTCCGTCATCTTAGTCTCCGATTTAAACCGGTTAGTTGCGATGCGATAATCGTGAATGCATTTGCAATGGAGACAACAACAAGGTCTACAATCTAGATGTTGGCGCAACAGCTGCCGTCGAGTAGCGGCATGGGTTGTCCAGGCCCGAGGCCACCGTCAGCCAGCCCGCCTTGCCAACTCTCACCCATGCAATCAGAAAATCCTCGTTGGTCGTCGAGCCTAGGGAACCGAGATTACCTGACACACTGGTCCGGTCCAATTGTCACGTTGCTTCCCTCCGAGGCCGAAGGCCCACTAGTTTGTCTCGCTTGACCGGGGTGAGATGCAACTGCCTGGCCGACTAAAGCACCGCTAGTAGACCAAACCAACTGCTTCTAGCCAACCACAATCTCCACCGCTAGAACGTGCTGAACGAGTCTGATATTGATGGTTCTCGATGCATATAGCATGATAATGCAACCCCTTCGCCGTTCATGCATATTTAAGCCCATCGGTTCTCCTCCCTCCCCCCCTTTTCCGGGTAGGATCATCTGTCTCTCTACAGCCTCGAGGACTTTTTTTTGTCAAGACATTCTCGATATGGCAGACTTTGACGCTTCTCGCGAGCCCGACATGGCCGCCAAGCACGAGTTCCCTGAGATGAGCCACAGCGAGAAGGAGGCTTTCGACAAACTCCTTCGCCCCGATGATAGTTACACCCAAGCGGGTGTCTACTGGGCCGATCTTCCTCTCGGCCAGCGGATCAAATTCGTCCGCTCCGTGGACTCCAAGGAGAGTAGCCGTCAGTGGTCGGCTCTCTGGCAGCAGTTCAAGGCCGATCCTTTGTCGCCGCTGATGAACTACTTTCGTGACACCGTCATTCCAGGTGCTGGTATAGGTCTGGAAGGGTAAGTCCATCCTGGTTGGCACTCTATACAAGAAGACGTTGGTCTGATGTGTCATAGTTATGTTTTACTCTCCATCGGAAATATCTCCACCTTGTTTGGCAAGTCCTTCGAATCCTGTTGGGGCAAATACGAGATCTGCTCCAAGAACTGGATCTCCGCTATATCCTATCTTGAGATCGTCGGTATTATCATCGGACAGGTGTTGGTCGGTATTATTGGCGATTGGATCGGCCGTCGTTGGGGTCTGCTACAAGATGCCTGGATTATGATTCTAGGCTTGGTCATGCTGGTTTGCGCTTGGGGTACCACACAGAACGGTTGGGTCATCTGCTATGCGTGGTCTTTGTTCATCTACGGCATCGGTGTTGGTGAGTATCTGCCTCCTTGCCTTCTTGGTCCCAATGATACGATGACTGACTGGCTGTCTGATAGGTGGCGAGTACCCGATGACTGTCACAAGTAGTATGGAGAATGCCGTCGGCTCTGGCAAGCTCTCTACTCGGGAGGATCGTCTTCACCGCGGTGCCAAAGTGATCTCATGCTTCTCGATGCAAGGTTGGGGTCAGGTTCTCAACCAGGCCTTCCTCATGATCCTGCTTCTGATCTTCAACGCCGGCAGCGGCGAGGAGCCCATCAACCAGACCGCCACCCAGTGGACCTACCGCATCTCCTTCGTGATCCCGCTAGTTGGCACTCTCTGGCTTCTCTATTACCGTGCCTACCACATGAAGGCCGCCAGCAAGCAGCTCGCAGCCACCAAGAAGGCGGCCAAGGTGTCCGTGACTGGCTACGACAGCGAGTCCCTCCGCTTGACCTTCAAGCACTTCACTCCGCGTGTCCTTGCCACAGCTGGTGGCTGGTTCGCCAACGACGTCTTCTTCTACGGCGCCAAGCTTTTCTCCAGCGACTTCATTGCAGTCATCAGCCCGAAGTCGAAATCGATCTTCACCACGTGGCAATGGAGTTTTATCGACGTTGTCGTCACTTTGGCTGGTTATTACTTCGCCATCGCCTTCGTCGACAACAAGCTCTACGGCCGTAAATGGATGCAGATCTGGGGCTTCTTGCTCTGTTTCATCATGTTCGTGGTGCCTGCGTTCCACTACGACTACTACACGGAGGCCGCACACATCCACTCGTTCCAGACGATGTACTTCCTGTCCAGTTTCTTCAACCAGTTCGGGCCCAACTGCGTGACCTTCCTCGTGGCCGGTGAGGTCTTCCCCACCCCGATCCGGGCGACCGCGCACGGCATCTCCGCTGCGACGGGCAAGCTCGGCGCGCTGCTGGCGGCCATCCTCTTCAACTACATCGACACCCAGACCAAGTTCTACTTCGTCCCCTGGTGGGGACTGCTGGGTATGGCCCTGACGTACCTATTCCTACCCGACACCACCGGCCTCGACCTCAAGGAGCAGGAGCGCCGCTGGATCTACATCCGGGAGGGCCGCGAGCACGAGTACCACGGCGTGGCCGTGCACCCGAAGCATCTGTCGGTGTGGGAGCGCTTCCGGGGCGCCAGCAAGTATTACAACCCGGAGCTGGACTACCAGCAGCGCATCCGCGAGTACCGCGCCGAGTGGGAGACCAGGATGGCGCGCCTGAGCGAGGAGACCAAGCGGGAGGATGATGCGGATGCCTTCATTGAGGACGAGTTACTGGGCGGCTCCGTGCACGACTACTTCTACCGCACGAGCTCGTTGAGCACGGCGCACAGCGTTGAGAAGGTTGACGCAGCGGAGGCGAAGTAACCTGTGTTTGAGTTCGATGCGGGCAGCGTGATCGCACTCAGCTGAAACGCAAATCGGCGAGATCCAAGATTATACCCCCCTCCCTCCTGGTTTGTTGAAGCAAGGAGGAATCTTACCTGTGTTATAATAATGTCTTTTATGGTTTTTGACATCCTGTTTGGGTTAGTTGATTTTGGGACAAAAATTGGGGCTGTTTACGTATATTAGTTTAATGCAGAAAGAACATCACTATGCTTTCCTTTCTTAAAGGGATGTGTCAAAGCACTGCTTGTTCTGACCCACCGGACCTGTCTAATTCTGCCAGTGGGGATAACCAGATCACAAAACAGCCTCGCAGACATCCCGCGCAGGGAAATGGAGGCCCGATACCCCACTTAAACATCCGGTACATCTTTATTTGGAAGTAGTTATGCATTTCCAACACAGTCATCGATTTGTTCTATCGATACACTGTTTGGATATCATGCCCTTACGAGGCTAGCGCTTCGCAACTCCATGAGGACCTGACGAAGGGTGACGAATGCTGGTTGACTTCAACTAAGCAGTTTGGCCGGGCTCTTCTTCTGAGGGGGGAGTCAGCGGGTTCTCCCACCCACCTTTCCGAAACACGCGCGTTTTCCTACCGAACTCCTATACAAAGCATGTATACCCGCGGCTTTGCCCGATCAACCCAACTGATTATCTTTTTCTATTGGGATAGATGATAGATATTTAGACTCAAGAAGAATAGCTACGCTTTGATGCACTGTATAGAATTCGATATAACCTCAGGTATGAGACGTTTACAAGGTATTCGAAGAGGGCCTCGCCTCCCCGCTCGCTTGGCAAGGTGCCTCGGGAGGGGGGGGGGGGGGGGGGGGGGGGGGGGCCCAAAAAAAAAAAAAAAAAAAAAAAAAAAAAAAAAAAAGACGGAGGTTTCAATGACTGCCTGGCGTGCTCGGGGAAATGCTTGTTTTGCTTGACTTACTTGCTCGCTCAGTTGAAAGAGTGTAACCAAGTATATCAACTACAGGGGCCAGAACGAGCAGGCTAGCTGAAAACTCCCCAAGGACTCATGTAAGCATCATCTTGGGATGTGGGGGAAGAAGCTTAAGGAGGCCGGATCCGGAAAGGTTCCATGGTAGCTGAGCTTAGGGGGGTGTCACGGGTGTGTAGAGGAACTTCCGTTGTTTCTCTTGCGTGGGCCACTCGCTTGCTGGTATCGCCCTTGACCTCACATGGCCGGGTTATAGTACCGACTCTTTACTACAGTTGACCGCCGGCGGGTAGGGCTGGCGAAAGACACCCGGCGACTTGCTGAGACCTTTTGAAGCAGTGATAGTAATAGTTAATACCCTATCTTTTCTCATTCTCTATGATTTGTCTACAAATATCAAACACGACCTTGATTACACCTAGCGTAGCAGAAAACACTTCAGACTGTAGCAGGGGGCTAAATGGGAAAGAGGGGTACGGGTACCTTTCAAGAACAACTCTCTTGCTAAGGTATCAAGTTTCCACCTGCCCTTTTAGCCCCAAGTCCCTCTGCTCTCGCCGTCAGAAATGGTATATCAACAATCAGATCCCCGGCAATCATGTTTCACTGCGACACCGCAAACTCCGCTCGTAACTTCTATTCGCTGTTCACGTGACACAAGGCTCAGAGATTCCGAACTGAGATCTTGTGGTTGTTGCTGCTGATTGGGCGAGTTCACTCGGATCGACGGCCGGATCCTGATGCTGCTGCTGTGACAGGTCGCAGGCCGAATCCCGGACAACCAAACAATTAAGTTCCAGTCTCGCGTGGCTGCCCGGCCCGACCGAAAGTATAACATGGCATCATCATGTCATGCTATCTATACTCTATCAACTTTCTCAAGCGGCACGAAAAGAGGATGAGCTTGAAAGAAGGACACTACAGTCACCAGGAAAAATAAACACAAAAATATGATCTCCGATAGGGGGAATCGAACCCCCGGCTGCCGTGTGAGAGACGGCGATGTTAGCCACTACACCATATCGGATGCTGTGTGAAAGTGTACCACATAGTATCGTCATCACATATTGATCAAAGATGAGCTTGAAAGAAGGAAAGACACAAAAAGATGACCTCCGATAGGGGGAATCGAACCCCCGGCTGCCGTGTGAGAGACGGCGATGTTAGCCACTACACCATATCGGATGTTGTATGAAAGTGCGGCCACTTAATGATTACAGACACCAGAAAAAATAAGACACCCAATGCGTAGGATAACTAGTTCTTATCATGGTTTTTTTGACACTGGGCGCTTGAAGAACCTGCTGCACGTGCCCTACCTAGCTCCTTTCCTGGACAGGAAGCTCTATTCAATTGCCCTGCGAATTCTTGACCCGATCTGTTCAGTCCAAGTGTTTTATCTGCGGACGATCCATATTTTACTGATTTTGATGGGGCGGAACGGTTTCAATTTTTTCCTTTCTTATTTTCGATAGTATACATATGTTTGGCGCATTCGCAGGTTGCACTCGTAGAAAACGGCTATAGCCATCTATGGTCTTGCCGAATCCCTTTCTTCCGGACTTTGATTCAATGACCGGATATCATGGTCCCCTCTTTGAAAAAAGATCACCGTAGAGCTCTCTTCAGTTCCAAGCATAATGCGAT